ATGTTACTGCAGTTTTATTTCCAGCTTTTAAACTATGCAGCAAAATTATCTGTCTCTGCTGGCCCCTAAAGGAACGGAGACTGACATTTAACTCTTTCTGCCAGGCGTAAATTGCATTGTACGGTAACACAACCCAATGCTGACAAATTACCAAAACAAATCAATATAATTTAATTCAAGATGATAAGGTCCACAACAGCAAATATGCTTACGTCTTATTGCAGTTACTAGAATTCTTAAATTTGGTGCTTATATTTTTGTTCCAGACTACAATTAATTTGAACAAGCTACTATATACGGAGATATAGCACACTGATTCCCTTCCCCCACCCTCTACTCACATGTGCTGTGGGATCGCTTTCAGTTTTGGAAAGCAAATTTAATCCACAGCTAGTCTGATGTACAAATGCATTTGAAGGCTAAGCTTTCAAAAGCTGCTCGTCTTTTCTTGACCTCTTTGCGCCTATGCAGATCTATGAACAATTGTTGGGTGGAACAGCAGGTATGGGGCAGGAAAGTCTCCTTGGTTTCCCTAAGCTGTCCTCTCAGCTTTACCCAGCACTGAGATCGCCATCTCCCTCTTTTAACTCCTCTCCCCCACTCCCCAGGCCTGAAGTCAATTTTTTCTTTGTCATTGCATCTTTCTATTTTGTCTTGCATTTAAACATATTTTGTGATGTTTTCCACACCCGCCCCTCCGAAAAATCTAGCTCTACTTTTGTATTATGCACATTTCACTGGACAAAATACCAAAACAGCCATTTATTTATACTTGGTTTTTTTTGGGTGTGGGGGGCAAGGAACTAATTGTTACAAAGCTATGCAGCAGAAACCTCTGGCAATTACTATGCACAAAGTGTTACATGGGGCTACCACCAAATTATTATTATTATTCAAATGCTGGCTGACATACATACAAGTTGCTGTAAGGCTTGACATGATAGCATTCACAACCTGGATTCACAAATATGAACACCTGCTGCTGATAAGACCTCAGGAATCTCACACTATCTACCTGGAGCTGAGATCACAGATCAACATCAGACACATCCTTTTAACAGCAGACATCTCTATTTCATGAATATACCATTTTCTCCTTTTCTCGCCCCCCCCCCCCCCCCACCCCAATATACCTAAAATCACCATCCCACACCTCAAATACACTTTAGTCAACAACAATAACAACTTGCATTCATATTGTGCCTTTTCACACAGGATGATTCTAGGAGCGTTGCCGAGCAAGGGAGGAGGAGTTGAGGTGACCATAGACACAGTCGAAGAGGTTGGTTTTCAAGTGAGATTTAAAGATAAAGAGGGAGCAAAGCACAGGGATTGCGGCAGGGAATTTCAGAGGCTGGGGACATAGTAGTTGTATGGGATGTGCAGGTGAGTGTTATCTGAGTGAAGGGTTGAATCACTAGCTATGAGATGCTCTTCACTGTTTTATTCTTTCTGGTTTACATGCTGGTGTGAAAATGTGGCATAGTATGCACATAAATACTGATTATAGATTGATATTCGATATATAGGATGGGGGGGGAAGCACAGGTGCATCACATTCACTGCCAAACAATATCCTCCTGGTGGGCCCTACTGCTGCAAGCCACTCAGTCCCCTCCTAGGGGAGGTGAAAAAAACAGTATTGGTCAATTTAGGGGAAAAAGATTTACGCTCCTGCGCTTAATACTCTCCACAATTAGACGTCCATCCAGGGAGAGAGTGCGCATTCCATTCCAACGATCCATCGCTGGGATTTCCGCGTGTAGCTGGGATGCATGGAATTCCGTTTGGTTTGGATACTCTTAAGCACGGTGACGGGTTTCCGCAGGTGTCAAGACATCCGGCCGACCCCCACCCCCACCCCCCAAATTCCTCATCACCGTGAGGAATTACAGATCATAGGAGCTACCACACAGGAGAATATTACTAAGTGTATTGAGTATCACGGGTGGTATTTGTCAACTGCTGCCCTTTGCATGCGCCACCGTGGCTCATGTCAGTGTGTGTGTGTGTGTCAAGACCCCTTGACTATCCCCTTATTACTGTGAGTAGCAAAGGGAGTAAGTTTGTTTCAACCTTGACCTAATTTACAGGGCAAATCTGTAATTGATTCGAGCTTTCAGAAGAGGTGGGGTGGGGTGGCAAGAGAGTGAGTCTGTGTGTGTGTGATGGAGCAATTATAATCAGCGTCATATTAAATATAAAGTATCTTCTATTGTAATAAACAACGAGCTTTGCTTGGCTTCGTGCAATGCATTTAAACCACTTCCTTTCTCCAGAAGAAAATCTCTCACAAACACCGCCCCCACACAGCTTGTCACAGTCACTCCAAAAACATGCAGACTTCGGGTATTTTTTTAAAAAGAGAAAAAAAATAAAGTTGGTTGGTTGGTTAGTTAGTTGGTTGGTTAGTTGGTGGGGTGGTGGGGGGAAGGTGATTGGAGATCGCCGCCTTGGGGGGGTATTTATATATGTATATCTCTCTATAGTCAAAAAGGGGTTTAAAGTAATATTTTCCATGTAATAACTGGAGTGAGCAGCCCAAGTGGGGGATCAGATTTACACCTTCCACATTCATTCACATTTCCCATTTCCCTATTCTCTCTCTCTCTCTCTCTCTCTTAACTTATTTGACAAATAAACACTGATCCGCTTAGATATAAATATATATATATATATACACACATTATATTTAGCCACAAAAAAAACTCCACTTTGTTTCCAGTCTCTCCCCACTAACCCACCCCCCCCCAACACCCCCACATTACGAAGTGCAATTGAACACAATTTTTTTCCCCAAAAAAAACCAAAAAATTAATTCACTTTTTTTCAAAAAATAATTAATTTTTTTTTTAAAAAGTCAGCCAAGGCCAAACCCCAGTGTGTGTGTGTGTGTGTGTGTGTGTGTTAAAAATAAAACTTTTTTTCCCCCTTTTTTTTGTTTTGGACAGTAAAAGAAAGGGCAAGGAGGAGATTTCAGATGCACAATTGCACAACTTTTTTGGGGGGGGCATCTAAAAGATGGTGGGATGGGGTGGGGGGGGGGGGGGTGTGTGCGAGTGTGTTTTTTTTGCAAAAAAAAAGTCGAGATGCTACAGTCTGTGCATTTCGTTTTCCATTTTCTTTCCACACAACACAACTTGCGATCTGTTCAGGAAAGCCGAGCAACGAGCAACCAGTGTTATACAGTTATATACACACACACACACATACCAAACGACACACACACACACACACACAGAGAGAGAGATAACACACGCACCGACACAATGCAAAATACTTTGGAAATGTGCTCACTTACTGCTGCAGAGAGAGAGAGAGAGAGAGAGATCCTCCTCCTGTCCAACCACCCACGAACGCAATGCTGTGGTGATGATTGCATTTCTAAAGCTGAGTCAGAGTTTACCGCATCGCAGGCTGACCAAACAAATGCAAATTGTTGTTGTTGTTTTTTGTGTGTGTGTGTGTGTGCGTGGGGGTAGGTGGTGACACACACACAACACACACAGAGAGATTGCACAGTCAAACGCAGTTAAAAGCTCCTGCCAATACATAGAGAGATTATAGATACGTGTGTCCGTGTAAATAAATGTAGGAAATAGGAACCCCTGAAAGCGAACTCGATTCTTCACAACTTGCAGCCTTGTGATCTCTCTCCACACCCACTTCCTGCTTCCAAAAATGGCACGAAGCCTTTCAAATCCCGTAAATACGCCGGGACTTTCCGCTCAGTCACTTACTTCCATGCAGTCACTGTAGTTCGCATTCCACCAGGAAGGCAAATAATAATAACAGGGGCGGCACAGTAATCTGCAGGTTTGGGCACACACCCACAATGGTACACACACACACACCCACAATGGTACACACACACACACCCACAATGGTTCACACACACACACACACAATGGTACACACACAATGGTACACACATACACCCACACAATGACACCCTACACAATGGTACGCACACAGACACTAAATGTTACACACAGTGCTACACACACACACACACAATGGTACACACAGATCTACACACACAATGCTGCACACACACAGATACACACACAGTGCTACACACACAAATACACACACACAGTGCTACACACAAACACATACACACAGTGCTACACACAAACAGATACACACAGTGCTACACACAGTGCTACACACAAACACGCACACACAGTACGAGACACATGCAAACGCACATACACATCCACACTGGTGCATACACACACATACACTGTTAGCGACAGTGCTGCACATACATTAAAACAATGCATGCATCAAGCATTTTAGGCATTGGGAGACCATACATATTTACTGTTTTATCACACTTTTAATAAAGCATCATATGTCCCATTGTAAATAGGTATATAATTTGCCCACAAATATACGGTCAATTCACTTGACAGTATATTCCGGGAAGCGCTTTGAGACGTCGAGAAGACGTGAAAAGCGCTATATCAAATGCAAGGATTATTATTATTTATAATGTGCAAGTGACCTTTCGTACACAAGAGGCTCTTTTCTCCAGCTCAGCCTCTCCCTGTCTCTCTCTGTGTGTCTCTGTTTTCTGAGAGCAATTGTGCAACTGAACTTTTTTTTCATTTTTTTAAAAAAAAGCTGCATGTATTTGCCTACGATCGAGGCTCTTCCCCCCCCACCACCCCACCCCACCCCTCCCACACACACACAAACACACACCCCAAAACCACTAAAGCTCAGATCAGCTGCTCCTGTCCATTTCAGTAACGTGTATCAAATCTGCAGACATTAAAAAAAACCCACCCCAGGGGGAGAGAGAGCCGAGCAGACTGGGCAGAGTGGAGGAATTCTCCACCCACAGGAGAAGCCTTGCACAATCAGCACAGCCCGAGGAGGCGATGTGTGTGGTGTGTGTGTGTGTGTGTGTTTAAGAGAGGGAGGAGGAGAGCGCTTGTGAACTTCAACATGGAGAAAGTACAGCACAGGAAAGTAAAAGCAAAGCACAGTACCTGGGTTCCTTGCAGGAGCTTGGATTCTCAAGGCTTGCAGAAGCAGCTCCAGCAGAAGAAACCTCCTGCCTTTAACCTGTGGAGCTGTCCCACTTCCTCACTCAGTCAGTCACTCTCTGACTCACACACACACACACACACACAAAAAAGGCGTCTGTTTTAACCTGACGTCAGGGCTGAACTGAAATGACAAACCATTCCACCAGGGCTGATTTGCCAACGTGTTTATTGCTTTCATTATTCCTTTTTAGTTTGCTTTCTCTCTCTCTCTGGTGACAGAAATAAAAACAAATACACCCTCAGGCTCCCTCTCCCCACCCTTTTTCCTCTCCTCTCTCCAGCACACACTTTCTCTGCGTTTTGCAACTAACTCTTTGCGTTGGAAGCCAAGCCCTCCCTCCCTCCCTCCCTCCCTGTGTTATTTTCTTTAACTTGACTGTCTTTATTTGCTAACTTCAGCTGAGCTGATGAACCCAAGAGCTAACCCCTGGCTGCGCATCCATCATCACCACCTCCCGAATAAGGGAGGCGATATGCACTGTATATTGTTTTACAAATTATTTCACATCCGACCAGCGGATGGTTGTGGTTGTGGTGTTGGGGGGGGGAGTGTGGGTGTGGGGGGGGGGAGCATTGTTAATTTAGAGAGCAGGATTAAATGCAGGTCAGAGTAACTTTTTTTTCCAGGGAGGAAGGAAGAGGGGGGGGAGATTCACACATCTTTTTACACTACGCCATGTGAACACAGTATAAACAACTTTGTGATCATTTCCAGTGCGTGTCGAGTTTGCCTGTTGCTCATTCTTTTTATTTCCATGTATGTGTGCGTGTCTGTCTGTCTGTCTGTGTGTGTGTGTGTGCATATGTTTGTCTGTGTGTGTGTGTGTGTGTGTGTGCATATGTTTGTCTGTGTGTGTGTTTGTCTCTGTGTGTGTCTGTGTGTGTGTCTGTTGCACACGAATGGTGAATGCAAACGCAGCGAATAAAATACTAGAGTGGATAAAAGAGAGCCATGAACAATGGCCGACTGGTGTTATTTTTAAAAAGAAAAACACTCCACTGTAAAATGTTTGCTCCCAGAGGCAGACACCCAGAACTGCCCGAACTACAAATCTGTAAACTTTTATACACACACATATATATATAGGGTTCACCCCAGCGTGTGGGTGAAGCAATCATGAGAATTCTGCCTGAAATCTGCAGGAGCAAAATGTGCAAGTGATGATTCCTGCACATGTAACAACAGCAATGTACACATTATTATATAGTGCTCCTCACACAGGATAGCGTCTCAGAGCACATGTCTGTCTGCAAGGACCTGCGCAGGGCAATGTGTGTTTAAGCGGCCTGGGACACTACCCTGTGTGAGGGGAGCTGTATAAATGCAGTTGTCTTTAGGGTCAGCCACAAAAAAAGAAAGTTCGCGGTTGTGAATTTTCAATGTACCAAGTGTTTCATTTTAATACTATTTAATACTGAGCAATACTGGTTATCTTGAGGCATTTTGAGGCAATCTGGCGGCTCTTAAATATGCCAGATGCACAGCCTGTTGAGAGGGGATTTGTGTACATGTTTAACACTTGGGTCACCCACCTGTAACTGGTTTTTTGAGTGTGTTACTGTACTCTACAGAGTGGGAGTGAGCAGTTGCCTTAACATAGAAATGTTCTGCACAGAAGGCGTCAGTGCCGCTTAATGAAAACTTTATGCCCATAAACCTGTCTTCAAATGATTACAGTTAATATTTTTTAATGTTTTTTTATTTCTTTTAAACCATCGGTCTCTTGTACTTGTATGCAAAATCTGTTAAGTATGGAGCGCCTTTTTCAATTAATATAATCTTATAAGCTAGGACTTCAGTGAATTTGTTGTTTGTGTGTGTGTGGTGTGTGTGGTGTGGGGGTAGGTTATTCCTGCAAATTTAACAGTCCTGGAGTGAAATTGGAACCATTTAATATTCAACAATATTCTCTTCAATATGTGTGAACTATATTGCACCGATCTCCACAGCAATCATCCTTTCATTTTATTAAAGAAAATAATAATTTCACACAGATAGGGTGACCCAGGCTCCCAGCACAGAGTGTCATCATCCTCTATAGAAACATTTAGGACACCTGTTTGCCCCAGTTAAAACCTCAGAAGTTACAATTTTGCTCGTTTTGATTGACAGAAGGGATTATTTTTAATAATGAACTGGTGGAAAAAAATCTCAATGAAATTGATGAAGACTTCATTCAGTGGGCAGAAGGAGGGAAGGTCACATTCTGTGAAAGAGCTTACAAAACATGCAAAGTGGATTTTTGGAGAGGGGAAATGACACTGAGGGCAGGGCTCTCAGTTTGGTGCTGAGTTGACTATTACTCCAGAATTATCCTGTAAGAGAGGTACATTACACCAGATCAGCAGCTCTGAAATCTCAAAGTGTGATATATGGGAGGTGACAAATACACTTTATACTGCAGTATAATCCTATGAAATGTCTTGAGATGTTTTGACAATTATAATATTCTTTGCATTTGATAGAGTGATATACATCATTGAGACTTCTCAGAGTGCTTCACAAGACATAGTGTAAAGTGTGGTGATTGTGCATTGTTGTGGGCAAAACGCGGCAGCCAGTTTGTCCGACAGACATCGTGGAATGTTGATGTGATAAGGCGCTATATCAAATGCACGGATTATTATTAATTATTTCTACAGCTCCATAGGTTTCAGGTTCCCCTTTTTTGTTTATTTATTTATGTAACACGATTACATTGTTTTTAATCAGCAGGGTGTCTGACACATGTGGAATTCCAAACTGTGCTTTTAAGTGTATCCAAACCAGATTGAGAGTTCCTCTTATTTTTAAAAAATGTTTCCACTGGCTGTATTGTATAATAAATAATAATGAATAAATAATCCTTGCATTGGATATATCGCCTTATCACGTCTTCTAGCTGTTTCAAAGCATTTCACAGAATATACTGTAAAGTGAATTGACTGCGTATTTTGTGGGCGAAACGCAGCAGCCTATTGCGCACAGCAGTGTCCCACAAATAGTAATTTGATTAAGTAACCACATTATTATTATTATTTTATTTTTTGGAGAGATTATTACCCTGGAAAAGCCATCCGCCAAATGACTAACAACTGGATTCCTACGTAAAGCTAGCTAGAAATAGTTGAGACACTTAACAGTTATGATCTGTAATAAGCTTTGAGACATTATGCTACATTTGGAAATTTTAGACTTAAGAAAAATCTAAAATAAAAAATAAAAATAGTCTCAATTAATTGCGATAAAATAACAGTCCCTGAACTTTACAGTATATCTTGTGAAGTGAAGTGAGAAGGTACTATATCAAATGCATGCAGATAGATTCTCAACCCCTGGCTGATTTAATGCCATTGGTTCTTTAATGTTGACCTGAAGAGACTGACAAGATGTTAGCTTAGTGTCTCATCCAAAGGGGCAGGAGTGCAGAGCTCCCTCAGTGCCACACTGGAATAGCAGCCTGGACTGTGAGCTCAAAGCCAGAGGCAACGAGTGCCAAACCACCCTGTTTGCCTAAAAAATAAAAGTTACTACAATTCAAATTGGCTCATTGTCTAGGAAGAGCATGGATATATTTTGAGGGATGTCAATAAGAATTTGCATTTTGATATAGTGTAATGTTGAAAGGTCTCAAAGCATTTTACAGCGAACGTCTGTACAGTCTGTATATGTGGGCAAACATGTCAGCCAATTTGAGGACAGCAAAGTCTCGCAAAGAGCCATGTGAATGAGCGGTTTTATCTGGGGATTGTTGGCCAGGACACTGGGAGAAACTCCATTCCCATCTAAAGAACATAAGTGCTGACAATGCAGTGCTCCTCACTCCCCAACACTGCACTGGAGTGTCAGCCTGAACTCCAAGTTCAAAATGCCGATAAAGGATTTGAAAAGATGGGGCTTAAAAGTACAAGTGTTGGTATTACGTTATCTCGGAGTTTCAGATGAGTTTGGCTGGCACGAGCTTAGTCCTAAATCACACTGCTGCTCTTGTAGCTTCAAGCTTAGTGTTTTTCTCAATAGATCCACCTTAGTCAGAATTAACTGCTTGCCGGAGAATTGATTAAACAATTGCCAATAGCAGCAAGACATCCCCATGGGGTGTTTGAGTGTGCTTATTGTTTACACCCTGCTTTTAATAAATCTGGTGCCTGGATTTATTTCCAACCCCCACCCCCCAGGCACCCATTAATCACTATGACTGAGATTCTGAGCTCAGTATCCTGAGGGGTGAATCTGCAATTACCTTTTTGTACTTTAACCTAAGGATAGAGATGGGAACTACAGTTGTGTATTTTTCAAAGGTATATCTTATATTATTCCCCCTTTTTCTCTGTTCTTTTTAACCAGATCTGGAATCCATGTCTGTTAGAGTCTGTCCAGTCAGAGGTGTGGACTTTATCTAATGTGGGAGTGGAAGATCCCGCATGCTCACTGTGAGATGAGATCCTGAGCATCCCATCTGATGGGATATATCACATGGCCACGAGCACAGCCAGGGAGGTAGGAAGCATTTGATGGAGTCCTGTAGCGTATTGGTTAGAGCATGGGTCTCGCAAGCGAGAGGATCTAGGTTTGATCCCCAGGCAGGGTGAAACCTTAGTTTCCTTAGTCCAATAGCGTATATAGCGCTTTTCACATCTTCTCAACGTCTCAAAGCGCTTCACAGAATAGACTGTAAAGTGAACTGACCGTATATTTGTGGGCAATATCATATTTTCAAAGTGCAAAAGCCATATTACTTCCCTTTCTATAACCAATAGCTGTTCCTCCCTCTTGGATCCCTATTCTTCCTTTGCTTCCCTATCTGTTTGACCTTCCCTTTTTTGCATAATTTGCATCGTGAGTGTCAGAAGTCAAGCCAAGTTGATTGTTGAGGTCATCACAGACGAACCTGAACTGGGATGACACAGCTGCCACACATGCACACTACCATTAGAGGGTGCTAAGGAGGGACTCGGAGCAGGAAACCCAACTCATTCTAACCTCCCTAACCCAAAAGGCCAACGTAACCTCCCTGTTCTACATTTGCTGGTCTCAACTGAAACCAGCAAACGCAGTACAAGCAAGGATTTGAACCGCAAGTTTCTGGCTCATCAACTCTAGCTCTAGCTCCAAACTGATGGTACTCACTTGTTTTATTTTTATTGGTGAACAAATAAAATTATCAGCAGTCGATATTTAACATGTCTGTTAAATATGTTAAAGTCTGATTAGATTTTTTTTNAAAAAATCTAAATTTTCTTTTAGGTATCAATGTGGCTCTCAAAGGGTTGTGAGTTCGAGCCCCATGCGGGAGACTTTCAGCTTGTAGTCTGGATTGACACTCCAATGCAGCTCTGGGAGATGACCAGAAGCTCACCCTTTGAAGGGCAATGGCGTGGAAAATGGAGACACAGGGAACTGAAAGCAACATTCTTTAATGCTAGTCATGAAACCCATATTTCAGTGATATTCAGTGCTTCATGTCACTACTGCCAATTTTAGGGGCCTGTGCAGTTTGTGCATCTTGAGAGCTGATTCCATTGTAATAATAATAATAATTGTAATAATAATAATCCTTGCATGTGATATCGCTCCTTATCACATCTTTGAGATGTCTCAAAGTGCGTCACAGGATACATTGTAAAGTGCAGCGACTATTTTGTGGGCGAAATACGGCAGACAGTTTATGCACAGCATTCTCCCACAAAAGAGTCATGGATTGAATGACTGCATTTTTTTTCCCCTTTAGAGGGATTGTATATCCCCAGAAAGCGGTCCGCCAATCGACTAACAACTGGGTTCCTACTTACTGCTCGGGAAACGGAGACGTGTGGCGTGAGGAAACTTGCCAAAGGTTTTTCACCCCTCTCGGGAATTGAACCCTGGTGCCCTCGCTTCGAGGAGAGCGCTCTAACCGCTACGCTGCAGAACTGAACACTGCTGCGCTTTTATTTCTTTAATATTGCCAATCAAATGACCTATCAGCCTTTAAATTGCTGTCTCTTGTTGTTGTTGGTGTTGGTGGGGGGGGGATGGTACTCCCTGTCTGCTTTGGGTGGCCTGTCCCTTTAAGGAAGCCCCGCCCCTCCCCTCGCCCCGCCCCCGCCCTTGTTCAAAGTCCCCGCCCCTTTCAGAAGGCGGTTGGTCGCGCGCGGATCCCTCCGCGGTCAGAAGGTGACGGCGGGGGAGGAGCGGAGGGGAGGGCGCGAGGAGGGGAGTGAGACGGCAAAGTGAGTGGAGAAAGAGAGGGCGAGAGGGGGGGGTGTAGCCCTCGGGCCGCTCAATCCCCCCCCAACCCCCCCAGTGACCTGGTGCCGGGTCAGTCCCCTCCTGCCTGTAGCTGAGGGGGTTGTGGGGGAATGGGAGTGGGTGGTGTAGGTCGGGGGGAGGGGGCGATATTATTAGGATTCTTCGGGGGTGTGGGTTGAGTGTTGGAGGGGTTCTGGTGGTGGTGGTGGTGGTGGTGGGGGGGGGATGGTGTTTGGTTGGGTGCAGCCCCCTCTGTGGTTGTGAGTGAGTGAGTGGTCTTGGCTCTGTGTGTGGCTACTGGGCCACAGAGCTGAGCCTGAACCCCCCCCCCCCACCCCCGGATGCACTGTGACCTCGGAGCTGAGCCGAGCCGTGGTTCCTGCTAACTTTGGCTGAGCGGTTGCCCCCTATGTCTCTACCATATTTTCCGGCGGGCGGGAAGGAAGGAGGGTGGGTGGGCGGGCGGGTGGGAAGGAGGGTGGGCGGGCGGGTGGGCGGGAAGGAGGGTGGGTGGGTGGGAAGGAGGGTGGGCGGGCGGGAAGGAGGGTGGATGGGCGGGCGGGTGGGCGGGCGGGAAGGAAGGAGGGCGGGCGGGCGGGCGGGAAGGAGGTTGGGAAGAGGGTGGGCGGGCGGGAAGGAGGCTGGGAAGGAGGATGGGTGGACGTCTGACACGTGTGGAAACTCGGTTCGGGGCGTAAAATTATCCGAAGCAGACCCACCGTCCCATGCGAGTCACCTACACCTTGCAGCCAGTTTAGTTCTAAGGAGATCCCACTGACCTGTTTCCCGCTCTTCCCCGACCCCCCCCCCCCCCCCCCCTCACACACACAGTGCCAACGTCAGTGCCATAACAAGAACAGCAGCACGTTATTCAACTGTTGGTGGATTCTCAGGAAAAGCCTCACTTGGCTGAGCTGGTAGCATTGCTCGTCTCTGAGTCAGTAGGTTGTGGTCTCAAGCCCCACGTTCGGACTTTGAGCTCACAGTCCAGGCTGACATTCCAGTGAACGTGGAGTGAGTGAATGTGCTGCCCTTTGGAATGAGAGGTTTAGACCACGTGACCGTTTTCAAAAAGCAAAACGGAGTTTCTCCTCGTGCCCTGGGCCAGAATGCTTGAGACAAATTGGTCCATTCACTTTCTGGTTTGTGGCATCTTGTTGGGCACAAATTGGCTGCCATATTTGTTTGCAGATACGCAGTCACTACACTTTGCAGAAAACTGCTTTTGAGATGTTTTAATTTTATAGGAAACTCAAGGAATTATTATTCTCTTGAGTGAGACAACCCATTGCCCCTTGTTTCCTACGCGGGGCCACTGAGGCCAAATGCCACTGCCCCACTGCTGCCCTGGCTGAGGTTAGCTAACTGCACACAGGGCAGGGTATCCTGACACAGATGTAGAGGAAAGTGGGGAATGCAGGTGGTTGCCAACCTAAGTTTTTTTTTTAAAAATCGCCTAAGAACAAATGGAAATGAGTGAAGATTGTTGAGAATCTTATGTGTGTCCGTGAATGATATTGGGGTTTTAATTGAATTTATACCAGGGAACTGGAAGCCTGATTCACATTGTTCCATTTTGCTCCAGGTTTATCCTGTACTTAGCTGGCTTTTGGAAATGGCAATTAGCTCTTTTGGGAGAGTCCTATATACTTCAAGGTTGTTATCAAATAATTTAAAGAATCATCCTTACAATTGATATAGCGCATTTCACATCGGGAGAATGTCTCAAAGTACTTCATATATATAGACAGCCAATTGAAAACAAGATACGGGCACTCCACCATCAGAGGCTTGTCCTTCAGCCTTTCTGCCCCATTCTCTGGAACTCCATCTCAGAGCCTTTCTGCTGTAAAGTGTAGTGATTGTTTAATTTGTAGGCAAAAGCGACAGTCAATTGCACATAGTAATGCCTCCCAAATAGCCATGACCAATATATATCTGGAAACTGAAAGAATAATCTTTCTTTTTCCCCCTCTCTCTCTCTCCAGTCCTCGCGCTGTACTTTAACTTTTGCTGTGATGGCTTCAATTCAGCAAGTTGTACTGAGTTCTCGACCTGGTGAGTTTACTTTAATCGGCGAGTTTTTAATTTAATCTGAAACCACGAGCTTCAGCCTGAATGAACTGAATGAACCTGCTCAACTATTACACCTATGGCAATTCCGTTTTCCCATCTTTAACTCCATATTACCTTAAAATATTTGCTTCTAACAATAACAAATTGCACGTATATAGAGCGTTTCATGTCGGAAGCATATCCCAAGGCGCTGGACAGTGATGGGTTTGCATCCAAGCTGGGGGTTGGAATCAAAAGGGGTGGAGGGCAAGGGGTGTGGAGGCGGGAAGATGACCGAAGGTGCGGGGAAAGAGGAAGGTCTTGAGGCAGACATTGAAGGAGGCAAGGGAGGGTACAAGGCAGAGGGGCTCCAGGATGAGGTTCCGAAGGGTGGAGGCATAAAGGCTGAAAGCCCGTCTTTTGATGATGGACTAGGCAGATATCGTGCCCATATCTCGTTCTCAATTGGTTCTCTAAATACGGAGTTACTCTCCTTGGGGACAGAGGTGATCTAAGTCAGAATGACACTCCCAGTGATCATGTTGGTTCTGCTGCTTAGGGAAGGATGGAGAGCCTATGGCTGAGAACTTCAGGCTGGATGAGGGCAGTCTGGCTGCGGAGCTGGAGGAAGGACAGGTGAAGGTTCGCACCATGTACCTCTCTGTGGACCCCTACATGGTGAGTGTCTTTCCCTCATGATCACTGAGGTGTACACAATAGAAGATGGATCCGTCTGGCTACTCTCATTATCAAATACTATTATTATTACACAATATATATTGTTACAATGGAATCGCTTGTTTGCAATCTTTCTTGCTCTCTTACGTTTTAACCCCGCCCCCGCGATTCCTCCCGCTCTCACCATCAAGCAGTTCTCTCTTGAAACAGCCCACACTTTTTCCCCCTCCCTGAGTAAAAGTTGACTCGTCTGCATAAAATAGTGAAATTGGCGCATTTCTAGTCCTCTGTCTCCTCACTGTCCAAGCTCACAGGTGAAGAAAGGCCAATGGGGTAGAGGACAGCTGGTAGCATTGGAATTGTACCTTTGCATCTGATGCCATGTCCCAGCCTAGATGTGCTAGCAAAATGTAACCCAAAGTTTGGACGTGGGACCTTACTAACCTGTACTCCTTCAGGACGAGTGGGGGGATAAAGGTTGACTTCTTAGTTAGTACTTGGTGTTACCAAGGTGGATGCATGGACAAAGATTGCTACTAATATGATAGCATTGATTAGTTAAAGATTGCTACTCCTGAGATTTCCAGACTATTTTTTTTAAATTGCTTTCCGTGTTTGACTCATTCTGTAGGTTGTTAATATTAATGAGCATTAATATGTTCTTAAATTGAAATGCTTAATCATTTTATTGAATTAATTCTCCAAATGGGGATTGTTATGGATTATTATTAGTAATCATCCTTGTATTTCTTTTCTACAATATATTCCTAATTATAATATTTAATATTATTCATTCACCCAAAATTAATCTGTCCACTGATCTAACCTTGAATTTAAATGTTGATCCATCCTGTAAAATCTATCCAGGCACTTCCAGCATTTAGTAGGGGTCACTGGTTATTGACCAGGATTAGATTATTTATTTAGATCCTTGCATTTGATGTAACGCCTTATCACGTCATTTAGACGTCTCAACGCCCTTCACAGGATATAATGTAAAGTGGCTTGACTGTGTATTTTGTGAGCAAAGCGCAGCAGCCAGTTGCACAAAGCAATACCCCACAAACAGCCATGGAGTGAGTGACCAGTTTTATTTATTATTTTGGGGGACTGTTAGTCAGGACACTGGGGAAATTCCCTTCTCATTTCGAATAGTGCCATGGGATCTTTGACATCCACCAGAATAGGCAGACGGGACCTCGGTTAACACTTCATCCGAAGGAGCGGGGAACTCTGGTTGATATTTATTTTCTTAGTTCAAGGTGATGCTAACTCAGCACAGACCAATGACTTGTCTGAGATGTGTGGCTCAGGAGCTGAAGTGAGCGATGCATTTTGTTTTTAAAAAACCCTGCAGAAAACATACTGAGACTTGAAATTCAAGAATTCTCTGAAATTCTGCATGTTTTAAATTGAAATCCCTGGACTTAAGGACAATGGTGAACTTCGAACCTATAAAGTCTTGCATAGTATATAGACCCTGAGTTGTGTTCAGTGCCTCACTGAGCAAAAAAAAACTGGCCTGTTTCATCTGTGCTGATTTAATGTAAAGTTTATTGCAATAACTAATTTTACAAGATGCATTTGACACTGCATTACTTTGTTTCTGTATACAATGTACTTGTTTTTTGCCTTCCTTGTCCTTGGCATGCAGTCTTGAAAGGAATGTTCTCTGCACACTGGGTGAACAAGCTATGCTTGAGAGTTCCTCAGATCCCCTAACTATTGAGGCCTTTCATCAGGGCACAAACTTTCCTGTTTACTTTTCGCACAAGCTACAGCTTTGCTAGGAAAGGAGCTATTTATCTGATCGGTGTTGTGTAAGGAAGCCTGCACATCCAACTGCAGTGTTTGATAGGAATGCATCCTGACCTTTCACTTCCCGTAGTGTAGTTGTCAGCGTGCTCGTCTCGTAAGCAAGAGAACCCGGGTTTCAATCCTGGGCTGGGCAAAAACAAAAATTTGGTCACTCAATCCGCGGCTGTTTGTGGGACACTGCTGTGCGTAATTGGCTGTCGAGTCTTGCCCACAAAATACAGTCAATCCACTTTATAATATATTCTATGGAGATCTTTGAGACATCTCAACGACGTGATAAGATGCTATTTCAAATGCAATAATTAATATTTTTATTATTCCTAGGGGCATTGAAACCAACTGTAGCCCCTATTTGTGCCACGATTCTGTTAATCTTGGATTTAGGTTCTCCTCCACGTGTCCCCTACCCTGGGACAAAGCCTTCTAGCCTTGAAAAGTTTTGTTTCATCCTCTTTCATCCCTCAGTGTGCCACAGTCATAGGAATACCATTATAACGTGTTCCATTATAGCATGGTCTTGCTTGTATTTTACTTACCAAAATATCCAAATTCGGCAGAACTTGCCAGCTCATTTCAAGACACCAGGTTCTCATGCACTGAAAATAGGTTTTCTTCCAGGTCACCAGCTTGCTCCTGACATAACATGCAGGAAACCAGCCAGCCAGCTATCTTTCTGTGCACATATGCAGTGAATATGTATGCGGTTATTAGACTGCAAACGGGGTACTACTGTATTCCATCCTCCTTTCTCAAAGACCGTGTGTCAGCTCTGTGACTAGAAGTTAGGTTGTCTATGGGCATATTCCTGATGTCAGTAGCTGCTTTGCTTTGACCTTGCAGCGATGCAGGATGAACGAGGACACGGGGGCTGGCTACCTGACCCCATGGCAAATCTCCAAAGTGGTGGATGGCGGAGGGATCGGTGTGGTCGTCGAGAGCCGGCACAAAAGCTTTTGCAAGAGGGACTTTGTGACCTCATTTAATTGGCCTTGGCAATCACAGGCCATTGTGGATGGCAAGATCCTGGAGAAGGTAATTATCGCTCTCCCTGTTAACAGCATTTATTCATTCCGTCTTGTCTAGCACTCCGGGCGCTATATAAATGCAAGTTGTTGCCGTCTACCTTGTCATTCAGGGCCACTTCATTCTCTTGCACATTATACCGCGTGAATCGAACGTCCTTACTCATAGATCTATATGGTATGTTCAAATTGGCTAAGCACACAGTGACAAAAACTTTCACAGATGAAAGACTTCTCCTGTAATAGCTGCACACTCTCTAAAGAACATCATTAATAATTAAAACTCTATGAGTAAGGACTTCTGATTCACCCTGTATAAGAGCTCACGATATAAGAGAAAACGTGCATGGTTTATGGATCTGAATCAAGGAAAATGCCTCTGGATTCGTCACACATATTCTAAAGGTTGCTACCTCACTATCTGACATATCTCACTTTTTCCTCTGCTTTAAGAAGCAGAGTGAAAGGAAACCCTGAATGCTGGGGTCAGATGAACAAGGGGTGGCTAGGTCCCAGCGATGTACTGTGTAAGCATCTTCCCTTAATCCATTTATCATTGTGGATTTATTGGGCGTGTACCCTTAACATTTTTCTGAATGCTCACCTGTAACTGAGTGTGAGCAGAAAGAACAATGAACGTTTACAACATTTGGATGTTCACCTTCGTTCCTCAGTGCCTTAAGCTCTGCTGCTCTGGGCGGTGGGGTGGAGGAGATAAGAACTACTGGTTGGGAAGGTGAATGGCTCTCAGTACTGCAGTGCATACGATGGGGGGAGGGGCGAGGGAGGGGCTGCTTTTAGTGCTGTAGGACAGGCAATGATGGTGGGGGGGGGGGGGGCGGAGTCACTTGGTGCTGCAAGGCATGCGATGTGAAGTGGGAGCTCCCTGTTGCAGAGCATCCCACACAGTTGTGCTTCTTATTCTATCTTCTAGGTTGATCCTCGACTGGTTGACGGGCATCTCTCCTATTTCCTGGGTGTTGTGGGCATGCCAGGAGTTACGTCTTTGATTGGCGTGAGGGAGAAGGGCCATGTTACTCCTGGAGCTAGTCAGACGATGGTTGTGAGTGGAGCGGCTGGTGCCTGCGGGTCATTAGCTGGTCAGGTAAAGGATTTGGCAGCAGTAAAGCGTATGATTGCCAGGTTCCTCATCTTATTTTTAGAGGTCACTCAGCAACACAGGCCCAATCTCCCGTTGAGTGGCAGGAATCTTGCTTATTCTTTAAGAGAACAAACCAGCCTAATGTCTGTCACCATCTGGCAATCCGGCAGTAAATTTACCAACGATGGCAAAAGCTCATAATGTCAGATTTACCTAGCAGTTACCGAACAAGAGGCAGTTGCCCATCACACTTTGGGGGGATACTTAGGGTCCTGATAACGTCCCTCACCAGCTCACCCCGGTGTATATGCCCTATGGATCCTAACAACACAATTTGATGCTTTCGCTAGATTGGCCGCCTGGAAGGTTGTTCCCGAGTTGTCGGGATCTGTGGCTCGGAGGAGAAGTGCCGGATGTTGGTCTTGGACATGGGCTTCGACGCTGCAATCAATTACAAGGTGGATAATGTCGGAGAGCAGCTGCGGGAATTCTGTCCTGACGGTATCGACGTCTACTTCGACAATGTAGGAGGGGAGATTAGCAACGCAGTCATCAGCCAGGTAACCCAGGCCAAATCCACTCGAGCAAATGTTATGGTGTCCTTTTGGAATACTGAGTTTAATCTGAGTTTGCATTGATCCCTTTAATGATCCTGTTCCCAGTCAGGGAGGAGAAATTCTATCTGGGTCTCTAGACTCTCATTATTCTCGTATGTGCACAATTTGGTAAATGGGGTAATGATCCCCCCGCCCCCCCAAAACAAAATTGATCACACATTCCAATTCGGTTTGTGGGATGCTGCTCTGCGCAATTGGCTACCGAGTTTTGCCCACAAAATACACACAGTCAATCCACTTTACAATATATTCTGTGAAGTGCTTTGGGGCATTTCAACGAAGTGATAAGGCGCTATATCAAATGCAAGGATTATTTATTATAATTCATGAGTGAAGCCTTAATTCAAAAGTGCTGAGTTACAATGTGTTTTTCCCCCTTTAACCTAGATGAACAAGCACAGCCATGTGGTTTTGTGCGGCCAGATCTCTCAGTATAACAAAGATGTTCCTTACCCTCCCCCACTGCCTTCCAGCATTGAGGCTATACTGAAGGAAAGGCACATCACACGGTGAGCAAATCATTGACCGCTGGGGCTCATGTTACTGAACGAGGCACCGACCTTCATGCTGCTCAAAGACTGCTGCTGCTGGGACAGTGTTAAAAAGCATGAGGAATGCTGTTTAAGGACTAGCTGTTCAAATGTTTTTTTGGGGGGTGTCTGCCGTGCAGAAACCCATCACCAATGCTTCAAGAGTATCCAAACCAAACTGAGAATTCCTTGCATTTCACCTCCACATCGAAATTCCAGAGGTAGATTATTGGAATGCGCACTCTTTCCTTGGAAGGATGTATTCCGGAAAGTATTAGGCACAGGTTGGCAAAAGCCAAGGCTTGGGGACCTCAGAGTGTGCGTTTGGGGTACTGTTGAAGTCTAACCAGCTCAAACCGCAGAGACTGCCATTGATAGCACTCGCTTCCAACATTCCGTTCCCAAACATGTCACCTTGAAGCTCGTTCAGCTCCAAAGATTCTCCACTTACCACATGCCATTGGCTAACTGGAAAGAGAGAGCGAGACGTATTTGCAGTGATTAGTGTGACAATAACCAGAGGATGTAAATTAAAATTTAATCACCACAAGGTTTTATTTAAACAGAGGGTTGTTACAATACAGAATGTTCAACCACAAAACCGCCGTTGAAGCCAAGATTGTAACAAAGGGAAATGGAAACGATATCAAAGAATGTGGGAAAGAGCACAGGAATAGGATTAGAGTAGGGATCTCCAATGGGGGAGCTCGCACCAGTGTAGGCACAGTGGACCAAATGACCTCCTGTGCTATAAACTTTCTTTGACTCTTATAAAAGGATGCGTCGCTACACTGGCTGGTATCTCTCCAAGGAGATCTTGGCTACAGTGTTGAAACCAATTTGGGTCGGAGGTGCCCATTCTGTGCTGAGCTATGTGGAGATCCCTGCTCTCAGGCTGTGAATAGGAAAGCTGGGGCCATAGGCAGATTCAGTGAACCCAGTTGACTGAGATCACAAGAGGTTCAGATGGAGCAGGCACTTAATTCCCGAATGCCCACTCTGCCATATCAAGTTGTTTCTTTCAACCTCCCTCTCAAAACGTTCTTCTTTGAAGGCACTTTCGATTATCTTTCGCCTCAAACCCGCAGTTTGAATGCCAAGCCAGGACTGTCAAGTACCTTGGGGCGTCCTCTTGAAGTGGTAAGTGCTGTATAAATATCAATTTGTATTTTGTCCTGGCCTCAACTTCTCTGGTAAATCATTCTACGAGTCCATTTATGTGTAAAGAAATATTTCCTGGTATGTGTTCAAAACATGCCCTTCACATTTCCAAATCTGCGCTGTTTGAGACGTAGTAGATGAACAAATCTCTGCTCTTATAGCAATGCAAAATCCGTGGAAAGCAGTTTCCCTTTAATGAGCAGATCAGCGATCAGCCTACCCTCAGTGCTGTGTTGCTTAAACAAAGGTCTGAATGTCTTGTTCAGGGATCATTTTCTCCCAAGGATATCAACTTTATTGCTTTCGCATGGAAAATGTTGTGCTTTCTCTCCATTTCCCCTCGTGCCTGAGACTCTCATCTGTTTTTAGGGCTAAAAGAAAGACTCCTATCTCTCCGTCCCTACCCTCTCCCACACACACTGAACCTTTGGAGGAATATTGCATCTTTGAATTTTTTAGGAATCCCAATATTCTTCCTATCAGGAATTCTGTGGTGAATTTCCAAAGCAAGGTGGATATTTCCCCCCCCCACCCCTTTAGGATGGTGAGTTGTAGAGCCTGTGAGATCAAAAGAGAGGGTTGGATTCTGTAGATATTTTCAGCTGTTCAAGGTCTTTAGCTTTGGCAATTGCACCTTTCACTGTTGAGCTGTATAATCTCACTATAATGGTGCATTGCTATGGAAACGTCATTGCAGAAATTTCCAGAGTGCGAGCTGTAGCCTGACCTGGAGGTTCAGTGCTGCTTTAGAATGTACTTTATCTCCAGCATTTCCTCTGACAACTTCTGCAGAGGTTGAGATTTGTTGCATAAGTGAGCCGTGATAATAATAATAATAATCCTTGCCTTTGATATAGCGCTTTTCACGTCTTCTCGACGTCTCAAATTGCTTCACAGAATAGACTGTAAAGTGAACTATTTGTGGGCGAAATGCTGCAGCCAATTGCGCACAGCAGTGTTCCACAAACAGTCGTGGATTGAAATACCAATTTATTATTGTTTTTTTTGAGGGATTATTATTGGGCGTGTGAAGTAAGGAAACTTGCCCAAGGTTTCACTCTACCGGAATTGAATCCAGGTCTCTCGCTTGCAGAGCGAGTGCTCTAACCACTGAGCTACAGGACTTCACGTGATGGTGACCATTGGTAGACTACTCAACGTGGAGATGGTGCACATGACAAACAAACCTGACCTGCTGCTCGCTAGACCCCAGTGCACGCCACCAGGAGAATTGCTGCCCCCAGTGACTCTTCCAAGTCCTGCTGATGAGCCAGCTTGTCTGGTCTGTCTTCAGCTGTGCTGTGGGGTACTACGGACCTGCCTGGCTCATGAGTTAGACTGTTGACAGAGGATGGACTTGATTCTGATATTCCATCGCTGAATATGTCACCTTGAAGCTAGTTCAACTCCAAGAAGACCTGCATAGCTCCCCTCCCTACCCCATCCCCGAGGAAAGTCACATTGCGATTGGAGGAAGATGCGAGTTGACGTACTGTGCTCAGTGTGAGTTAGCACACTCACCCCTCCTCCGATCAGCAACATGAACCTGAATTGCAATAACATTTCACAAATAAGAAACAAAGCAGGGCAAATTAGCATCAGGAGGCTGCTGTGTGATGCACTGGACAGTGAGCTGCTAGAAATAAATAGAGCGTTACCTCACCGGGATAGGCAGTCACTCATCCTCAAAACTGCTGAGGAATATTTATGAGGCTATTTGCCTGTGAGAGGCTGTCTCTCTGCACAAGGTGCAGTGACCTGTATGAGCTGGAGACTGAGGTTGATGTAATTTCCCAGTAGTCAGCTGCTCAGCAATGTTTCCAAGCAATGATGTGGCTGTTGTAAACCTCTTGTTAGTGAATTTTCTTCCAACATTATCCTCCCTCACCCCCTCACCTCCCCATGCCCTATGCGCCAATGATTGACTTGCTGGCAGTTAACAGGATTCAGCTTCATCCCCCCACCACCCCACAACGTGGTTAAGTAAGTTGCCAATAATAATAATAATACTTGCATTTGATATAGTGCGCCTAATGCACACTTATCATGTCTTCGAGACGTCTCAAAGCGCTTCACAGAATATACTGTAAAGTGAATTGACTGTATATTTTGTGAGTGAAACGCGGCAGTCAGACGTGCACAACACTCGTGGATTGAGTGACAAAATTATTATTATAATAATTAAGGCACATCTCAAGACCCTCCTCTTCGACCACGCCTTTGACTACCCTCCACCCTCTCTGATCCCAACCCTCCCTGCTCGGATCCAAATCCCTGACTGTCCAGCGCCTTGAGACATCCTCATGATGTGAAAGGTGTTATACAAATGTAATTTTGTATTGTATCATCGTTAAGATACACACGGGAAAGCTTGCCAGACAGTGTTATAATTCATTTTTAGCTGATTATCTCCAGTAGTGGGCTGAATGATCTACTGTGCTATAAAGGAGTCCTGTAGCTCAGTGGTTAGAGCACCCGCCTAGCAAGCGAGAGACCTGAGTTCAATTCCAGGCAGGGCGAAACCTTGGGCAAGTTTCCTTCTCCACATGACTAATAATAATCTCTCCAAAACAATAATAAATTGGTCATTTTCAATCCACGACTGTTTGTGGGACATTGCTGTGCGCAGTTGGCTGAACAGTCAATTCACTTTACAGTATATTCTGTGAAGCGCTTTGGGACGTCTAGAAGATGTGAAAAGCGCTATATCAAATGCAAGGATTATTATTATACATTTCCAGTTTTCTAAAGCATTCAGTAGAAGAGCTCCTTCAATCTCTGTACAGCTCACTAGCTGACAAAGGCAGTGATATCAATGGCAAGCTATGTGGTTTTAACTGGTTAGACTCCAGCAGCAATGCACACTGGGGTCCTCAAGCCTTGGCTCTTGCCAACCTGTGCCTAATACTTTCCGGAATTAGGTAAGAGGAATTCATCCCTCCATGGATAGAGTGCAACTTCCATTCCAACAATCTATCACTGGAATATCCATGTGAAGATGGGATGCATGGAATTCTCAGTTTGGTTTGGATAGTCTTAGCATAGTGATGAGTTTTCGCACGTGTAGACATCTGGCTGATCCCAAAAGTGATAAGTACTTGCACGCGATAACTCAGCCTTGTTGTCCCTGCGTTAGGGAGGGGGAGAATCAGCCAGGGTTCTGAATCCTGACTGACCCTTCCTTCCACATCACACCCTCCCCAAAAAGAAAGCGATTATGTGTGACTGTCTCGTAAGATCAGGATCAGGCTTGGCTGTCGTTCCTTCCATAGTCGAATTGTCCTTCTGGCACTTGGTGCTTTGACCATTTTCAGGTGAATAATGGTGACTAAGTGACGTACTGGCCATGGAACCATCCTATAGTAACAGGAATTTCACACCTTTGGGAAAGGAAGGGGCAAAATTGAAGGAGAAAATTGGCAAAGTGTTTTAATTTATTTTTTAAAAAGTAAATCTGGTTTAAAATTTGCCTATGTTTTAACAGGGATATAAATAGGTTTGCAAAATAGCAACAACAATCCTGCCGATCAGTCTGCTTGCGGTTTTGGACTTTTCATAAGATGTTTGCTTGGTGTGTGAAGTGAAATCCATTGTCCAGAGAAAGTTTTTTGTGATTTATCGGGTTTTGTCTCCTATCTTGCCACCCCTCCCTTTCTCCCTCATGCAGAGAGCGATTCATGGTCTTGAACTATATTGATCAATATGAAGCCAGCATCAAGCAGATGAGCCAGTGGCTGAATGAGGGGAAGTTGAAGGTAATGTCTACAGTGATCTGTCCTCTTTTGTTCATCTAGAGTGAACAATTGGCTGCCGCGTTCGCCTACAAATATACAGTCAATTCACTTTACTGTGTTCTGTGAAGCACTTTGGGACGTCCTCCCGACGTGAAAAGCGCTATATCAAATGCAAGGATTATTATTATTATTATACAAATAACGTTAAGGCCAACGTTCAGCGGTGGTGCTCTTGTCACTAGTGCACATTCAGTCCCAATGTGGTTTATCCGCCCTCCCCTCCATACTCTCTTTTTCTGGAGAGACTTGCCTGGGATTATAAACTAATAATAATCCTTGCATTTGATTTAGTGCTTTACAAGTTAGTTGAACCGACTCAAAGGGCTTCACAGGATGTTACTGTGAAATGTAGTGTCTATTACTTTGTAGGCAAAACATGGTAACCAGTCCCACAAACAGCCATAAAGTGTATGGAATACCAGGTTGGAACCTATGTCCATACAAATGCCTGCCATCACCATGATCTGGTATTTGTTTTTTTAAAATATACAATTATTCGTTACCACAGGGAGGTCCAACCTTTTGGCTGCTGAGGGCCAGATGCCCTACTTGAGAAATGTCCACGGGCCGCATAAGCAATATTTGTGTTTCCCTTCCAGAAACATAACATAATATTTACGGGTTATGGAGAGATAAAATGGAGGGTTGCCAGTTGGACCACCTGCTCTGCCATTAAATCCATCATTCCTAGCCCACAATCCTCTACTTAAATTTATCATTCATCTCTTGGTTGTTTATGAACTATTGCTGTGAGTAAATTAGCTGCTTTTGCCTGCAAATATCAGTCAGCATCCTTCACTTTCATTAAATTTCAAGGTGTATCAAATTAAGAATTAATTTGAGTTCAAACTGAGGTCCATCTAGTTTTGGTGGTCAGGTGGATGCCAGGATACTGTTGAATAGGAGAATGAGATGTTATTTAACACTAACAAAGAATAGGTGTTGGCACCTCTCTTTAATGCTGTTCTGTTACTGTAGGTCCGTGAGACTGTGGTGAACGGACTGGGCAACATTGGAGGTAAGAGACAGTTACAGCTGAAGGTGAAGGGGCCAAGGCAGAGACAGTGTGTTACTCTGAGAACATTTGTAAGGTGTAGCGTAATTCAGGTCCAGTCATTTTATAGACATTGGAATGAGTTGCAAGCAGGAATCTAATTGAGGAGTTTATCTATTTATATTATAAGTTTCCTCAGGAATGAGTTGTCAACTGTAATCTGATTGAGAGGTTCACGTGTTTTTTTTAATATGCTGTGACTTTTATTGGTTGTGCTCTGGTCTGTAGGATGTTTTTAACGTCTGCCATTTTAGTTTTGTCGCGTTCTGGTGCTGTTTAACTGTCGGAGATCAGTGGAGATGGACTACCCGTGAGGGCTCATTGCGAGAGGTTATCGAGAAATAATTTAGATTATTTTATTTAAAGGCGAGCCTTACTCTTTCTTCTCTTGCAGCTGCTTTTCAATCCATGATGAAAGGTGGCAACATGGGGAAGCAGATCATTCTGGTCTCTGAGCATTGAGGCTCTGAGTGCCTCTGCCTGGAGAATGTGCCAGCGGCTCAAATAGCCTTGTGCCAAACAGTACTCTCTGCCACTATCCCATCTCTGTGGCCCACAGGCCCTATTGCTGTACTAATCTCTCACATTACAATAAAAACAGATTTTAACCATATTTCCTCACTATTGGCTTGATGACAGAAGTAGTGGGGGAAGAAGAGTTGTGTGTTTCAGTATTGTATCATTGCTCAACTAAGTAGAACTTATTGCAACTTTGTCCACAGCGCCTGAACATTGGCCTCTGAACTGTTTGAAAGGGTGTGTGTCACAAGTGTAATTTTTTTTCCTTTTAAAAGCTGCTGAGTCCACTCACACTTTTAATCTGTAAATGATGTGTTGTGCATGGAGTGTGAAATTGGCCTCTGTATAGATAGGAACAGGATCGCTGTGTTCCTTGAACAGCTCCCTTTTGTGGTTAGCGTGAGAGATCAAAGGAAATCCCATTCTGTGTATAGTGTGAATGATGCAGGACATCATTACCTTCGCAAGTGAAAGCTCACACCCATGGGATCATAGCTCTGGCTTTGCGCCATTCCTAACAACTGCTTGCTAACTGATGTTTGTTGTCGTGAATTGAAGGTACCAATTAAGCACAGAGCTGTGGAACGTTTATAGAACTTGGATCCTATTTCATAGGAAATATAAACCACTGGAATGAGTTATTATTTAAAAAACAAATCAATAGGAATTTATACAAAAACAACCAGTGTATAAAGGTACGGTTGCACATTAGAGAAATTTAGAAATTCTTATGGCTTTACAAAGCTAGGTAGACTTCAGTGTAAGCTTGATTTCTACTCTGAATCCCTTCTCTTCAGGGAGTTTCTCTCTCCCGGGGTCCTGGCCAACAGTCCCCCAAATAAAAAAAATTGGTTACTCACAACATGGTTGTTTGTGTTGCTTTGCTGTGAGCAACTGGCTGCTGCCTTTCATCCACAAAATACAGTCAATCCACTTTACAGTATATCCTTTGAAGCACTTTGAAACGTCTCAATGACCTGAGAAGGTGCTTGAATCAAATGCAAGCATTGATACATTTGAGGGATGCCATTCGTGTTGGTGCTAGCTGCTCTAATACCATTACCATGCTTTTTCCCTTTAAATGTTATTTTTCTTCAAGTATTTATTTAATTCCTTTATAACAAGTAATACATTTCTGAGTCATCTTCTCTCGAGACTGGAGAACGCTAGGTTGCTTAATCTTTACAGGAATCCTTGCTCTGGCTACATCCAGTGCAATGTGGACTCTGATGCTCCCGATTTGTAGGTTTATCCTAAAATGGGCTCTGTTCGGTAGAGAAGACATGATTTTAGATTTGGCAACAGATTTTATTGTAAACAAGTCATTTGGCATTGAACAGTTTTTTTTATAAAAAAACTGGCTGCTGTCCCCAGCGTTGAATGTTTGTAAATTAACATTTTGCTTGTAGGGAAGAAACTCTCAAGGCCTTTCAAGTTGGCGCTGTTCAAAATTCACCCAAATTGTCTGGTTGCTGTACTAGCAAAACATCTTCAGACCACAGGAATTTTGGATTTGTCTCACTGATAGTCACAATAACTGGCAGGAAACTGCATCCAGAGGTTAAACAATACAGCACTCACCTGAGATACTCAATTGATCAAACTCTTGTTGCGTTTTTAAAAAAAATAATTTACCACTAATCACATCAAACTTACAGTCAATCACTGCTATAAATAACATTGCTCATCATGCTCTCAACTTCCTGGCCAGGAACAGTGTATGCACTGCCTCTCCCCCTGGCCCTGCGTGACAATGGTCCCATTGCCTGTTTGGCATTATTCCCCCACCCCTACACTTACATAGTGCCCTTCACGTGAGATAGGGTCTCAGAACGCTGAACAATGGCAGAGTTTGCCGGTGAGCCATTAAGAAAGGAGAGGTGACTAAATGTAGGCGGTCTCCCCTCCACTACCATCCATAAAATCCAGATTATTCTCGCATTCTCAGCCGCACCAAACTCCACTCCCTGATTACCCCAGTCCTTGCCAGACTGCACTGGCTGCCTAGACCAGAGAGGATCGACTTCAAGATCCTCACCCTTGTCTTCAAATCCCTCCACTCCTCTGCACCCCCTACTTCTCTGACCTCTCTCCTCAAAACAGTGCCCATTGCCTTCATTCCTCTGGGTCTGGCCTCTTCCTTGCCCCCCCGAGTCCTCCACTCCACCCTCGGTGGTTATCCCTTCAGCCACTACGCCCTGAGGCTCTGGAACTCTCTTCCTCACTCTCTTCGCCTCACCCCCTCTCTTCCTATTTTCAGGTCTCTGCTGAAGGCCTTTCTTTTTGACCGCACCTTTGGTCACCTTCCTCCCCCTCCCCTTGGCTCGGCCCCAGGATCCGTTACTGTGAAGCGCTCTGAGACGCCGTCCGGCATGGAGGGCACTATATAAATCCAAGTTGTTGTTGTAGGCATGATTGAAGAGGAAAAGGCATCACACTGTCCCCAAGTTGGCATACTGCCCCTCCTCTACACAAACACCACGTACATTGCTCATTGGACAGGCACCAGTGAACCCTTCTGTGAAACAGGGAAGGGCACGAGTTTCCAATGCAGGAATCTCAGTTTAAGCAGACCCCCCTGCTGCCAGACCCCGAACGCTGTTTTCTGAAGCAGCGGGGAATGTTTATGGAGAAAATTCCAGTGCATCAGTATCAGTGTAGGGTGTGGTCCACTGGTCTACAATTTCCCCAGGTGAAGTGAGTTTTCCAGATGAATCTTCTTATTTAAGGTGTCGATGTTTTGTGGTGGGAGGAGGCAGTTTGATATATTTAAATGATTACCTTCAACCACTGCAGTCGACGTTGTGCGAGCAGCATCAGGAACTCTCTCTCACTAACAGTGTGAAAGAAAATCGGTACAGGTCCTAGTGTCCCTCCCGCTGCGGTTCCAGGCAGGTTCAGGAGTATGGGCAGTTCTTGATGAGGTTCCTGTACACAGCAATGGCCGACTCGTTGGTGGTCCACACCTGGTAGGCCAGTGCCATCGCCAGCATCACAGTCCAGGTCCTCATTGGGGACAGGAGGAAGGCTGCCACACCATAAGCCTCAAGCAGGAAATAGCAGGAGTGGAGCTGCCAGGCGAACAGCATCAGCACCGTCAGGTGCACAAGGACTGAGCAGACCCAGCCCGAGTACTTGATGTGTGACAAGAAACGAGCCCCTCGACAACGCAGGAGCAGGCACCAGCACAGGTAGAGGGTCAGCGGGAAGTTAAAGAAAAGGAGCTGCGAGGGGGAAAAAAAAGAGGGTCAACAACTTGGTGATGATAATGATAATAAGCCTTGCATTTGATACAGTGCCTTATCATGTTGTCAAGACGTCTCAAAGAGCTTCACAGAATATATTATAAAGAATAAATTGTAATTTGACTGTATTTTGTGGGTCAAACAGTAGCTAATTGCGCACAGTAATGTCCCACAAACAGTCGTGGATTGAGTCATCAAATTTTTTGGGGTAGGGATTATTACCAACTGAAAGCAATCCGCCAATTGACTAACAGCCGTATTCCTACTTATTGCTAGGTAAACAAAGTCATGTGAGTGAGCAAAGTTGCCTAAGGTTTTCCCCCATCCGGGAATTGAACCCGGGTCCTCTTGCTTGCGAAGACAAACACGCTCACCTCCATGCTACAGGTCTCCAATCCCACTTTTACATCCGGAAGTAACTCATGTTAAAATGTTTGGTTTTCCCTAAGTCTTGCCCCCACACCAACTAACCCCTCCATGCCATCGGTGGTTGAGCCTAAGTCATTACGCCCTTAACCTCTGGAACTGCCGGCCTCAATCCCTCCATCTTTATATTCCCACCTTAAAACCTATGCTCTAGCTTCTGGCTCTCTGATGGTGCCTGCCTCTGTGAAAGTGGCCCAGCCTCAGAGTGCAGCAGCATCTCCGGTTCAGTCACATTTTGAATCTCTGGAGCCGCAATAACAACAACAACTTGTATTGATAATAACTCCATTTGTGCAGCCTCTTGGAGGCTTAATATAAATAACATATCAATATAAAAGCAGCATGAGATTTCCTGATAACATTCTGTACTTCACCATCACCTTGTCACTAAATGGCAGAGACTCAACAATATATGCCTCCCCTCACCATCTTTTCCCCAAAAAACCTTTCAAATATTATTCTCACCTTCTGTATCCAAATTTATTTCTGAATTTGTTACCTTAGCAACTGCTGCTTGATGTTATAGATAACCGGCTAGGCATAAACCAATTGTTGGTGGTGCTGAAGGAAATTGTTACATCAGCGCAGGTGTGTGTTAATTAATTAATTATTCCTTGCATTTGATATAGTGCCTTATCACATCATTGAGATGTCTGAAAGCGCTTCACAAGATATACTGTGAAATGGAGTGACTCTAATTTGTGGACGAAATGCGGCAGCTAGTTGTGGACAGCAGTGTCCCACAAACAGCCGTGGAGTGAGTGACAATGTTGGCAGCTACCTGCAGAATTCCAATGAAAAAGGTCAAGCTATCCTCCACGAAATAGCCGTCCACCAGGACACCGAAAGAAAAGCAGGCCCCGATCTGTCCGTCTATCACTTCTCCAATGAACCAGGGACCTGCAGGGAGGGCAACAAGGTAGAGGTGAGAGACTGAAACTGAAATGACTAGAACAGATCAGGTTCCCATTGGTTCAGCATTGCACCCCTAACCATCAACTACCATATTTACTCAGATTAAAGGCACAGGTTCATTCATTAAAAATTACCTCCAAAATCAATGGCATCTTAAAATTTTAGCCCCCCCTCCCCTCTCTTAATGAGTCACCATCTTTCTCTCATTGTGCCTCTCTTGTTTGACTGAGCCTTAGAATTGATAGCGACTTAGAACTGCAGTAAAAATTCCCCCTTCCCCCCAAACAAACAGTCTAAAATCTGGCAAGCCTTGGATTTCGGGTCATTTACGTTCAATAAGGTATTATCTACTTTGTTCAAATAAAAGGATCATTCATGAATTCCATGTGGCCCTAAAACATGTTTTTTTAAAAAAAATCCTGCACTGCAAATCTGAAATCAGTCAGAGGGTAAGATACTCACCTAGTGCTGTGTATAGGGTGAAAAGTACCACAGGGAAGTATATCGTGCTGGTGTTACACAACACTTGTAGTGAAAAATAGGTCAAAATCAATAAACCAGGAGTCTCTGGAAAAGAAAGTTGGAATGTAGGGAGCTATTCACTAACTAGCTAGTCGAGTTCAGCATCCATACGTACCCCAGTAGTCGTGGATTGAGTGACAAAAGGCATGTCTCAAGGCCCTCCTCTTCGACCACACCTTCAGCCACCCTCCCTTATCCCAATCCCATCTGCTCGGGTCCAAATCCCTGACTGTCCAGCACCTTGGGATGTCCTCCTGACGTGAAAGGCGCTATACAAATGTCATTTTGTATTGTATTTTGGGATACAGTATATGAGTAATTTGAGACACAACATATAGTAAGTGTGGTATGGCTTGGAAGAACTGGGAAATTTGGATCTTAGGTTCCCATAGCTTTCCACTCTGTTGTAGACTAATCCATAATGAATTAATTGGCACCAACATCACCATTACTGTAGCAGGTGATTACCAGGATAGAAGGTGAACTAGCTAGACCTTGGTCTTTAATCGTCTAGCAATTCCTATGTTTCTTCCCTCTTCTCGACTGTGTCTCCTTATTCGAGGATTAGAAAAAAATTTGACCAATGATGATGTGGAAGAGTATACAGTGAGGAGCAAAGAGCCTTGTCCTGTGCTAAGATCTCTTGGATCTCTCCATGAGTCAGCTTGGACTGCTTCCTCATGGCAAAGTGCTCCACCTACTGGTGTGGCTGAGAACTACTGGATTAATAATAATAATTGCTATATAATAATTCTTACACTTGATATAGCGCCGTATCATGTCTTTGACGTCTCAAAGCGCTTCACAGAATATACTGTAAAGTGAATTGACCATATTTTCTGGGTGAACACGGCAGCCTATCTACGCACACAAATGTCCCACCAATTGCCAAGAAGTGAGTGACCAATTTTATTTGGGGGATTGTTGGCCAGGAAATGGGACAGAGAAACTCCCTTCTCTTTTCAAATAGCACCATGGGATCTTTAACATGCACTTGAACAGGTGGGAGTTTGGTTTAACGTCTCATCTGAAGGATGGCATCTCCAAGTACTCGTAACAGAAGATTATTATGATTATTGTGGATCTCTGCTGTTTCTCTGAATGGGAGTGCATCAATGGAGCTCTGAAAATCAGGGTCTAAAGCTTACCACAAGCAACTCTTTGAGCCAAAACAATTTCTCTCTCTATCCTCCTTTCCTCTTCTATATAATGCAGAAGAAACATACCTTTAAGTTGTGGTTTGGGAAGATACCGGATGACAACCATCAGGATAAGATAAACGATTGTTAGCAAAATGAAGACCACCTTCATCTGGAAAATATAAAGACACAGGATCAATCTCTCAGCTGCTCTTGAACCCTGTGACGGCACAGCTCAGCGCTGAAACAAGTGTTAGCCACAGGCGGTGTTTCAAATTGTTACATTCCCTCGGGGCAGGTTACAACAAGAACAACAATAATAATGATAATAATCCTTACATTTGATATAGCACCTTTTGTTGTTGAGACATCTCAAAGTGCTTCATAGTATATACTGTAAAATGAGTTCACCGTATATTCTTGTGGGCGAAATGTGGCAGCCAATCCCACAAACAGTCATGGATTGAATGACCAAATTATCATTTTTTAAAAAAAGGATTGCCACCCCTGAAAAACAATTCACCAATCAACTAACCACCAGGTTCCTATTTATTGCCAGGTAAACTGAGGCGTGTGGAGTAAGGGAACTTGCCTAAGGTTTCGCCCCGCCCAAGTTCTCACGCTTGCGAGGCGAGTGTTCTAACCAATATTCTACAGGACATCAAATAATCTTTAATTTGATACAGCGATTATAACATCAATGTTTCAAAGCATATTAGAGTAATAATTACTTTCAATATAGGGCCTCTCACATGGGAAGGAAGCCTTAAAGTGCTTTGAGGAATTTACTGTTACTGTGTCGTGACTGTGTATGTTGTAGGCAGACAAAGCAGCTAATTTACGCACAACAATGTCCAACAAACAGCCAGGAGGTGACTGAACAACTATCTGGAGGATTGTTAGTTGGGATAATGGGAGAAACTGCTGTCTCTTTTAAAATAGTCCCAGGAGTTCTTTAATGTCTAACTTCATAGACGTACAGAACCTCAGTTTAACGTTCCATCTGAACGTCATCTCCAAATTTAAAGTGAGATGTCCAAGTTTCTTAGTAAAATAGCTAATAATGTGGCAATTATATTGATGTACATTGAAGTGCTTCACAGTGGCAAGGACGGACGCCGAGCTAGGGGAAGGGGAGAGGCAAGAATTTGTAGTTAGAGAGATAGATTTTAAGGTGGGACTTGAAGACAGATAGAGAGTGGGTCAATGGAGGGAGATTGGAAAGCTCAGCCAAAGACAGAGGGCAGGGGACACATAGCAAGCCCGAGTTAGCCGAGTGAGAAGGCAAGCAGAAGGGATTTTTAGGTGAGAGTGAGGATCTTAAAACTAGATCCTCTGAGAGCCCAGTGAGGACTCAGGTGAGGGACATACAATATTGCAGTCATTTCAGTGGATATAATAATATTAATCCTTGCCTTTGTTATAGGGCATATCACGTTGTTTGAGATGCCTTAAAACCTTTCAGCCGGCAGTCAATTTACACCAGCAGTATTTCACAAATAGTTGTGAAGTGAATGACCAATTTTAACTGGGGAATTTTTGGCCAGAACATCGAAAAATAAAACTCTTCAATTACAGGATCTTTAATGTCCACCTGAACAGGCTGATGACATCTCAGTTAAATGTCTCACTCAAGGTCGGTGCGTCACCAACACCGTATTGTAATAATCCTTGCATTTGATATAGTGCCTTATCAAAATATCAAGACTTCAGAGTGAATTGACAGTGTATTTTGTGGGCGAAAGTGTCAGCATAGATTGTGATGTTAGCCTATATTGTGAGATCCAAGTCCCGATGTGGGACTTGAACCCACAGCCTTTTAACTCAACAACAGAATTACATTTATAGAGTGCCTTTCACGTCGGGAGGACGTCCCAAAGCGCTGAACAGTCAGATGTCCGGGCCCAAGCATGGGGGAGGGAAGGCAGAGAGGTGGGAGGGAGACCAAAACATGGTCGAAGAGAAGAGTCTTGAGACCAGCCTTGAAGGAGGCAAGGGAGGAAGCAAGGCAAAGGGACTGTGGGATGGAGTTCCAGAGTGTGGGGGCAGAGGGGCTGAAAGCCCGGCCACCGATGGTAGGGCAGGTCGGGGGGGAGACGTGGAGCAGGCCGAAGCCTGATGAGCAGAGGGAGCGGGCAGATTGGTAGGGAGTCAGCAGGTCAGAGAGGTAGGAGGGGGCAAGGCCATAGATGGCCTTAAAGTGATTACAGGTAATTACATTTATATTACGCCTTAGAGACAGGAGTACTACCAACTGAGCCAGGCTAACACCCAGATATAAACTGCACGTACCATAATAGAGTGGTTACTTAAGAGGATAAATGAGGGCAGGAAATCAAACGTGAACAAGTGGTCCTTTTCCATGGTGAACTTGTGACCTTGAGTTTTTTCTCTGCCAGCCTGATCCTTTAAGAGAGAAGACGATATAATAATAATACTTGCATTCGATACAGCACCTTATATTGTTGTGGCGTCTCAAAGTGCTTCACAGAATACACTGTAAAGTGGATTGACAATGTATTTTGTGGGTGAAACGCAGCAGCCAATTGCATACAGCAATGACCCACAAACAGCCATGGAGTGAGTGACCAATTTTATTTTGATGGGGGATTGTTGGCCAAGACACCGAGAAAGAGAAATTCCCTTCTCTTTTTGAAGAGTGCTATGGGATCTTTACCGCCCACTGGAACAGGCAGATGGGACATCAGTTTAACGTCTCATCCGAAGAACAATACCTCCAACAATGCAAATTCCCAGGAGGGAAAGGGGAAATCAAATGAACAAAAAACACTATTCTCTCTCAATTGCAAGACATTTCCAGTTTAGCTTTTCTTCTCCCCCCCCCCCCACCCTCTGTCTCCCAACCCCTCTCTCTAGATTGCACAAGGGAAAGAACACACATGTACCTTGGCTTTGACTTCGATTTGATGTACTCCTTCCCTGTAATCCTTCACATTCCAGGGCAACACAAAGAGAGGCCCCATCACGTGCTCTGCGCTGTCGAGGGCAACACCGTCAATACTGACCAGGACTGAAGAGATAGTTGATGGTGAAAAAACCAGGACCCTGATCCAGGAAAACAGACTCATTATCAGCAACCACCAAATTGACAGCACAGATTCCAACTGAGCGTTCACATTAATCCTCTGCTGTTTTTGTTCTTAAAGAACCAGTGATCCATTATTTTGGAAATTTCCTCCTAGGTATATGGACGGGAAAAAGGCTCAGAGGACCACCAAATCTTCTCCCAGGAGTGTGGCCCGCTCTACCTCCTCACAGTATTCACTGACACATCTCTACTGTTGTTGATCACTCAGAAGGAGAGAAAATAGAAGTCCCAAAAAGCATATTGAGATGTACGATCGACGTCCGATAATGTAAATGTATATTGTAATAGAATATGCCTAGAAAAGAATTTCCTGGAAAATTCCTCCTGCCTCCCCTCTCTTGAGGACTTCATCTCTTAGCTACCTCCACCATACCATTGCTCTCCCCAACCCTGCCCTGGTGCAAGTCCTTCCTGCGTGAGCCGAGATGGTGATTGGTGGCTGGCTGTTTATCCTTGGAAAGTGGGGTGGGAGGGGGTGGTGGGAGGAAGAGTCTCTAAATAGCATTCAGAAGTGGGAACCCTGGCTGATTTTACCCTCCCTTGATGGGGCTCTTGAGCACAATCCTAGTGTTCCTAGATCAGCAAGGACTGGAACTCAAACCAGGAAATGTTATTGCAGCTTCACGTGGTGTCTCTATCCACTCAGGCGGAGAGGAAAAGCTGCCTCCCAGTGAAACAGAACTTTAAGGAGGCCTAAGTTTCAAATATGTGGAAGTAGAATTATGAGAAAGTCAAACAGGAGATGGAGAAGGAGACTGATACTTTCTCCTACCTGATGTGTGTGGAATACTGGACTCTCTCCAAAGGCTCCTGGGTTGGGTTGTGGTACACAACGTCCTTTGGGTTTGTGATGAGGACCACTGGCCATTCGTCAAATGTCAGATCTGCAAAGCTGAGCAGATCGTGGTCAAACGCCAGGATGCGGTACCTGCAGGAACAGTGGTCAATGACATGATAAGGTGCTATATCAAATGCAAGGATTATTATTATACTGGGAGTGAGAGGATTCACTGGTGAGGAAAGACCAGAGGAACTGGAGCTGTTTTTCCAAGGAACAAGTAAAATTCAGATCTGCGCTGACGGACGTTTTCAAACTCTGAAGGGTTTTGATAAAATAAATGAGGGGAAATTATTTCTACTGGTCCCGGAGTCTGTAACTATTTAAGATAATTACTAAAGGACCAAAGAGAGAGGTTAGGATCTTCTTTTTTTAAAATAACAGAGGGACATGTAATGCCCTACCTAGAACATATTGAGGCAGAATCCAGGTTAGCTTTTAAGAAGGAACCAGAAGGAACTCTGTAAAAGAGAAATATAAACTATGAAATGTAAAAGAAGATATGGGGGCGTGGGAGTCCAGACAACGGGACTAAACAAGTAGGTATTTTAGACAGCACAGTGGGCTGAATGACCTTCTGTACTTTACATTTCCAGTGTTTCTAAAGCACTCGGTAGAAGAGCTCCTTCAACCTGTGTATAACTCATTAGTTTGCCAGACAGTGATATCAATGGCAAGCAATGCGGTTTTAACTGGTTAGACTCCAGCAGTTACCTCAACGTACACTCTGGGGTCTGGCCAACCTACACCTAATACTCTCTGGAATTAGGTAAGAGGATGTGCTGCTCCAGGGAGAGAGTGCGCATTCCATTCCAACAATCTAAATCTGGGATTTCCAGGTGTCAGTCGGATGCATGGAATTCTTACTTTGTTTTGAATGCTTTTAAGCATGGTGATGGGTTTCCGCATGTGTCAGACACCCACCCGGCTGACCGAGAAAACCCAACCGAAACAAAAAAACTGTCTGAGGAGGCTGTTGAACCACAAGTATAAAATTAACAAACCCAAGATAATAATAAAGAGGATTTCCTCCCTCTTGGGGGGTGGGGTTTAATAATATCCCGCTACTCATCACCTACTTAGTGCTGATGGGACACTGACCTGCGGTTGTCCATCCAGTCGCCCAGTTCCAATTCCAGAGTGCCCTGCCTGTGCCTGCTGTGCAGCACTGGGGCCAGACCTCCCAGCGTGTGCAGGTGGCCACACAGATATGCTAAACTAGAGCTGTAAAACAGAGCATTTTTATCTGCTAAGCAACATCAACTTTATATAGCGCTCTTCACGTGGGGCAGTGTCTTGGCGCGCTTTGCAGTGACGGAGCCTCATGCTAAGCCTGAGGAAGGGAGGAGGTGACCATAAGCACAGTCAAAGAGGAAGGTCTTCGGTCGTGATCTAATGTAATACAGGAAATATGCATGTCCTTTACTCTTTCACCACCTCCTTAAAAAAAGTGCATTTCTCCCAGTGTCATGCTCAACAATCCTCCAGTAAAATTGTCTGTCCTGTTTGCCAACAAGCACACACTTGTGTAAAACGGCCTGGATACAGGGGAGTTTACATGCAGACAGATCTAAGAATGGTTCCTATCTGGGTACTCTCTTGGAGGAAAGACTTTTTTTNACCCTCAATGTGCTAACTCACTGCGGTTCCATTTCCAGCAAGAGTGCAACACTTGGGAGACAGTTAACAAAAAATGCCCTGTGCCTATGTAGAATGCTGGGTGTGTATATGCCTTTAAGTGACAGATGACTCTGTGAATTCTTCAGGTTTTGTACTTGTGGTTAATGACCGATGAATAGAAACTATTGGAATGTGGAAAGTCCATTTATTTTTGTCACAATGCACACCTATTCTCCAGAATTCTCATGAATTCAGCTAACGAAACACAGGTCGAGAGAAAAAGCCCCAAACCCCGCCCCCACTGTAAATCTGACCCTGTTAATTCCAGAGGAGCAGCCAACATTACTCTCCCACGAGCAGTCACATTCCACAGATGACATTCTATTATATAGGTATCAAGGGAATGGCAACCGCAGCATGCCATTGAGTATGTGATCACCCGGATCCAGATGATCACATAGAGGAAGCGGTCTTCAATATTATTCATCGGAAACTTTTACCACTCTCTTTCATTAAAACCTACGACTGAAGTTGGATCCCGTTATTCTCATTTGACTGGAAATTGGATGTGAGGTAATGTCGACCTGCACAAAGTTCAATCGGGACAAAATCTGCTTCCGTAGCAGAGTTGCTGCAGGCCGAGTTGATGGGATTCTGTATTTCCATTAAGAAATACCGCAAATTAGATCTCACTGTGATGATTTTGGTGTGAGCTACTTCCGAGTTGTCCATGGGTTTAATGGGTTTTAACACAACAACAACTTACATTTATATAGTGCCTTCCATGCCCAGTGGTGTCTCAGAGCGCTTAACAATGGTGGAGCCCAAGGCCGAGCCGGGGGAGGGGGAAGGTTACCGTAGGCGCGGTCGAAAAGGAAAGCTTTCAGGTGTGACCTGAAGATGGGGAAGGAGGGGGCGAGGTGAAGGGGTTGAGGGAGGAAGTTCCAAAGATTCAGGGTGTAGGCATGGCCGCTAATGGTGGAGCTGAGGATTTTGGGAATGCAGAGGCCGGACCCAGTAGCGAGGAGGCAGCGGGTACTGCTGTGGGGAGAGAGGAGGTTAGAGAGATAGGGAGGTGCCAAGGAAGGGAGGGATTTAAACATGAGTGAGGATCTTGAAGTCTAACACAAATTAGACCTTAATTAGAATAGCGTCCCAGGATCCTTAACATTATATAATAATCCTTGCATTTGATATAGCGCTTTTCACTTCTAGACGTCTCAAAGCGCTTCACAGAATATACCGTAAAGTGAATTGACTATATTTTGTGAGTGAAACGCGGCAGCTAATTTTGCACAGCAGTGTCCCACAAATGGTCGTGGATTGAGTGACCAAATTATTAGTTTTTTTTCTTGAGGGATTATTATCAGGCATGTGGAGTAAGGAAACTTGCCGAAGGTTTCACCCTGCCGGGAATTGAACCCAGGTCTCTCGCTTGTGAGTCAAGTGCTCTAACCACTGAGCTACAGGACTCCACATTTACCTGAACAGGCTAATGGGACTTTGGTTTAACATCCTCATCTGAAGGACAGCACCTCCAACAATGCAGTGCTCCCCCAGCACTGAACTGCAGTGTTAGCCTGGACTAACAGCTCAAAGTACCAACGTGGGACTTGAGCCCACAGCCTTCCGCCTGAGAGGCAAGAGTGTCACACACAGAGACAGGTTGACACCTAACGGCAGGTACTTAGGTACCTGAGAGTATTGTGCCACCTGCTGTAGAGCATTCCTAGGAATGCATTTACAAAAAACATTATTCGTTCAGAAATATATATATATACACACACACACTTTTTAAAATAGCTTTTTACCTCATGAGTTGCCGTATGCCAGGAGATGCAGAGATGATGGTTGAGGTAGTGTAGTGGCCAAACCAAATAGTTTGATTACTGTGGACAGCATTAGAGGACAGTGCGGATAGTTCAGCCATCTTAGTCTGAAAAGCAGAGACATGTTTTAGAGTCTTTAGGACGTAGTTCACAGACCTTCTCACCCCACCCTAACCTTCCCCTGTCAAATAGCGGATTCTCTCCTGCTCAGACTAACTGACTCAGTTTCACCCAAAATACATAGTGAATTTACTTTATAGTATATCCTGTGAGGCACTTTGAGACAAAGTGATAAGACTCAATATTAAAAGCAAGGATTATTATTACTATGATTATAACTAATCGATCGGGAGTAAGGCACTTATCAGCCTTCATATCATCCCAGCAGATCCAAGCCATTATCTTACATGAGGATGTAAGATGTTTCTCCAGCTGATTGCCTTGAGGAGCTTCCTAGTTTTCTTCTTGTCCACACTACACACCAATTTGTTTACTGAACATTAATACAATCTAGAATTTGGGGTGAGATTCTTCTGCCTCAGGAAGATCAATGTGCTTGCTGCTTATTTTTTTTNAAATGCTGCCAATCAATCATCTCCCCTGCTCTTCTAAAGGCGTTGGATTACTTTCTTCCTACTCCCAGGGTAATAGTTCAACTGGGCCTTCGAATACCTCACCCAAATGAAGTATTATTCATACATGAGATTGATGGTACATATCAGCAGGCAATTCAACCGTGTGGGGGCGGGGAATGAGTGGGCAGCACCAGCAGACACATGTTGCTAACCATGGTGGCAATCTCCTAGCTCTGACTACAGTACTGGAGTTGCACCTGCACAGATAAGCAATAGAATTCTCTTCCGTTTCCTCCTGGTCCTGGTTTAATGTTCCTCACCTGGTTCAAGAAGCCAAAGAAATTGAATGGTCTTTTTGGGCCCGGAACAGGAGTTGCGTCTGCACAAATAAATGAGTAGTTTCCGAATGGCTTCTGATGTAGATAATGGAAGGAGCCATCCCGTCGAAAGGCAGAGTATTTTCTGTAAGAGGAGCACAGTGAGACAGTTGCACTGTAATTCAAAACAAATTAGCAATACAACTCTGTAATGGCTTGCCTCAATATTGGTGGATCATTGGGAAATACCTTGGATATAAAACCTCTTAAACTGAAGCCACAGACGACAATTAAATTGCTCATGACTTGTCTTGTATCCAACTTTCTCAGATTAGTTTGTGGTTACTCCAAGATCCACATTCACACCTACAGTCTCTCTCTACCTCTGTGACTTCCTGCAGCTTCGCCCCCTCTGCTTGCCACCCTGCTCAGCAAACTACAGCCTACTATGCATTTGTTGCACACTTCGACCCAGCATTTGTAACCAAGCCTTCAGTCAATATGCTCGAAACTTCCTGCTTCTATCCCTCCACCTCAATCCCTCTCGACTGGTCTTTGAAAGCCTCCTTCTTCGACTGGGTCTTCAGTTACTTCTCTCCTATCCCCTCTCCCCCTGCTCGGTCGGTGTCTGGCAAAATCTCTATAAAATACTTCAAAAGATTAGTTACCCTATGTGAAGTGTGCCTTAGAAAGTTAGCGGTAGCAAAACTTTGCAATACTACTTTACAGGATCATTTAGCACATTGGAGCTAAATATAGGATTAGTTACCTCGAAATTCTAGTAAAATACAGGGTGGCATATTTGTATGTATATAATTATATATATATATTATACTAGCTGTACCCATTGCAACTACGCTTGCAAATAGTTTAATTTAATCAGCCTTCTCTCTTTCATCTGGCATTTTTATTTGTCCTTGAAAGGCTTCTTTTCTTTAATCCTTAAGATTAAAGAAGGCATCTTTAATCCTTAACATTAAAAAAAGTGCTAATAAACTCGTTAGCATCCCTTGTTCGCATATATGCACACATATCTTTTTGGGAGGACTCCTGGTTGAGAGGACTCCTGGTTGAGAGTTCATACATGTCTGATAAATTTGTTTAGGTCACGAAAGGAGATCCCTGAAAAAAATATGCCCACGACACTCCCCTACAAGACCTTTCCGATGAGGTACAAATCATGTATGTTAGACGGACCTTTCATCTTTATTAGTATAAGATAGATGTATCTCTCTAGAAGGGTGTGTGACCCGTCACTACTTTGTTGCAGAATACCATGCATACCTTTTGGGGGGCTAAATTAAAGCATTTTTGGACATAGCTCATCAATGATAGGAGATCCCTGAAAAAAATGCCCATGATGCTCCTCCCATGCAAGAACTTTCCGATGAGGTACAAATGATCAAGATTTGACTCTGTTGCATTCTGTTCTTAGTGTTAAGAACTTCATTCGGTTTCATTGACAAATTTGATTCATTGAAACACAAAGAGATATGTTTCCTTTTACCTCCTCCTCTCTCTCCTCCCGGGTAACTTGTGCTGAAGTCACCAATTATCCTCACAAAAACATTCCATTGTCAATACGTGAGCTCGACAGGAGAGCATTGGCAGGTTATTAACTGAGGGCGTTGCTTTTGATCCTATCCTCAGTCGGCATCTACCGTGGGGGGACAGGGAATGCACTGAACAGGTGTTGAAAAAAAATAGACTGGCTTTTGTTTGCCACTTCCTAGTGCAGGAGCACTGAGGGCAATTTTAATGCTTCCACCAGTACTGGCTCACTAGATTGTGCGATATTGGCTAATCCTTACTTTCCAATTGACTGCTCTTATTGACTTTCTTCCAAAGGTGACTTGGGTATTAATTCCACAGGTGCTGGCTGTCCTCTGGAAACTCATGCAAATAGCCATTCATGTGTGAGCCTGGACAATGAGTGACGAAGGGGCGTTTCAGGTGTAAGGGAGGATATACAACAGAGCTCAATCTAACTCACTCAATGTCCTTTATAGCAGGTGTTGCTGGCAATCCATCAAGAGCCCTGGGTGATTATGTTTTTGCTGCTTCACTATACATACCAGTGATCAAACCTTGGATCTTCCAGGCGCACATGGCTCAGTGATGCATTTAAAAACAAAGTTAAACAGACAGACCTTATGTACAATACCTGTAGTAGTTAGTGACGCTCTCTAGTGATGGGATGTTAAAGGCATCTGTAATGACAAAGGCAAATTAGGGGTATGAGAATCATAAAGGGGAAAAGGCAGTGAAATGGGACTAATAATCATTGCATTTGATATAGTGCCTTATAAGTTCTTGAGACGTCTCAAAGCGCTTCACAGAATATAATGTAAAGTGGATTCAGTGTGTATTTTGTGGGCAAAATACCCACTCGAAGGGCCGATTAGTCTTCTTCACTGCTGTTAATTTCTATGGTTCCATTTAGAATCCACTCTATTTACACTCCAGTGTAGTGCTGGGGGAGTGCTTCATATTTTCAGAAGCGCCAACTTTCGTATGAGACATTAAAGCAAGGCCTTAAACCAAGACGTTAAATCAAGGTCCAAGACATTAAAGGACACTTGACGCTTCAAAAATACAGTGTCTTGGCCAACAATCCACCAAATAGATACATTGGTCATTCACCTCATCACTGTTTGTGGGGCCATACTGCACAGTCCAATAGTTCTTCTAATTTTCTTCCCACTGGCCTCTGCTCCTGGTCTGCCTTGTTCCTGCTGGAGTGCAGAGCATGGGTGCTGGTTTGCCTCTGGTACCCTGTCCAGAATGGTGGTTCCCATTCATGCATGAGTCTTGGCAGCGACTGTAGAGGGTATCCACCTGAGCTGAACTGACCTCTCCCCACTAGATGCAACACAGGTGCATAACCAGCAGAGGGAGATGTAGAGCAATCAGGAGCACTTATCCTGGGTGGTTTTCCTCTGGGACGGACGGATGGGGTCAATTCAGCCTCCCCATTGTAGCCCAAATTGACACCAGCAAACTCAGCACAGACCAGGAATTGAACCAGTGAGCTCCCGGTCCATAAACTGGAGCTCTATCCACTCCACCATTTAGGTTGCTTGCTCCTTCACTCACTACACTTAACAGTAATGACAGTGTAGTGCGTTCTGGCACCATATCAAATGCAAGAATTATTATCGTTATTCGAAAAAAAAGGGGAAACATAAAGCTGAAACTGAACAGAATACAATCCTCTCATTCTTACCGTGATTTCCCCTGATATCAATCCACTTTGTTTTCTCCAGCACTCTGGATTGCTTTAGGATGGTCTGGTATGTTTGCCATTCCACTTCGTGCTGGATGGATCCAATCTTGCTCTTTGTTTTGGCGTCTGTCAGATCTCCTGCAGAATGTTACAGAGGTTGAAGGCAAAACTGTCCAATTAAAAAAATATATGAAGGGAGGAATCTCAAGCCTAATTTTCGTGTCAACATTTTACGACTCTCCTGAGGCACCAGCCCTCAGCGCCATGGGACTTCCTCCCAACGTGAAAGGCACTGTACAAATGTAATCTTGTTGTTGTTGTTAGGTAAATTTGCCACATGCCCTCTGACACCTCACCTAAACATTTATCCTTTGTTCTCAGCTTTGAGACTGAGTGTCAAAAGATTATTTAACTGTGTGGACTAAACAAAAATTCTGTTCCTGCACAAACACACGCATATACACAATCCAAACCCATATAGTACCTTTCCTACAAAGTGCTTCACAGAGATAATAATAATAATCCTTGCATTTGATATCGCCTTATCACGTCGCTGAGATGTCTCAAAGCGCTTCACATATATTGTAAAGTGGATTGACTATGTATTTGTGGGCGAAACATGACAACCAATTGCACACAGCAGTGTCCCACAAACAGTTTTGGATTGAGTGACCAAATGTTTTTTTGAGAGAGATTATTACACCCAGAAAACAATCCACCAATCGACTAAGAATCGGGTTCCTACTTACTGCTAGGGAAATAGAGGCATGTAGAGTGAGGAAACTTGCCGAAGGTTTTGCCTCACCTGGGAATTGAACCAGGTCCTCTCACTTGCGATGCGAGTGTGCTAACCATCTCTCTACAGGACTTCACAATAAGGTTCCGCAGACAAACCACACAGCATTTAAGGATGTAAAACCATTGTTTCAGAGCTAGACTTTAGAAGGTTTTAAAAGCAGGGAAAAGTGCAAGGCAAAGGGATTTGGAGAGAGAGTTCTAGAGAGGGATTAATAGTGGCTTGAACACTGTGTATCCAGTTAGTGGTCAGAGAGAAAACCAATGGCTGGTTTTCCTTTCATACAGTCGTTAGGTCAAATGCGTTCAAATGATGTCCTGCCTGAGGTCAGCTAACTCACACAACTGGGGGATCAACCCTTAACCTTCCAGTCCATGTGACTGCATTTAACCATTCAGCAATTGTTGGAATTACCTTCGGCCTATATTTACCATAGGGGGAAGGAATCTGCCTCTTAAAGCATGTGGGCACAGTGTTGAAATCATAAAGCTCAGCTGCCTTTTTTTTATATTTCAGAATATACTGTAAAGTGAATTGACTGTATATTTTGTGGGCAATTGCACACAGCAGTGTGTCACAAACAGTTGTGGATTGAGTGACTAAATTTTTTTGCAGGGATTATTGACTCCAGAAAAGCAATCTGCCAATCAACTAACAACCGGGTTCCTACTTACTGCTAGGTACAGTGGCTTGTGGAGTAAGGAAACTTGCCCAATGTTTCTCCCTACCTGGGAATTGAACCCAGGTCCTCTTGCTTGTGAGGCATGTGCTCTAACCACTAAGCAACAGAACTCCAGGCATTGATATTTAATACCTACAGGTAGTACATTTTTAATGAGTTCACCTCTACAACATCTTTCACTGAAGAAGTCATGTGGGAGACATATGTTACTTGATCACAGTTGGCTTGTCTGTTACGACTTCTCGTAATGTTTTGCCTTTTACTGGGCATCGCCATATAATATAATGGTGCTGCCATCTCCATGCATTGTGTTGTGAATGGGACTGTAGTTAGCCCCTACCAGTAAGTGTCTGATCCTGGCTCAGGTGAACTCACCATGTTATTTTCCTCACTGGTTGGGAGGGGCGGGGGCGTGGTGGGGGGGAATCTTGACTCCAGGCTAAGCTTGTAGAACGGATTACAGTACAACATTTACTAAATTACATTCAATTATGTGTTTCGCCCACAAAATACACAGTCAATTAACTGTATGCTAAAGCTTTGCATCTGTGGTGCCCACTTTATTATTAAAATTATTATTACAGGGTTGGCAAAAGTAAGGAAGCAGTGCATTCACCAGCCTTCCGGAAAGGGGGGGATGGGAGAGAGAAGAGATTAATAAAATATTAATATATTGATTTCCTCTCCCCAAAAAATCATAACAATCCTTGTGTGTATCAGCTCTGCTGGTTTGGGAGTTGTGAGTCCTACTTGCTGCTTTGATCTGTTAGTTTGGCACAACCTTTCTTATTTTAGTTACATTAAGCATCTCAGAAATGTAAACACTGCCCTGATATGCCAGCATAAAAACAATGGATTAAACAGAAACTTGAGTCATCCGTGTCGTGCAGCATTAATTATTAACGCAGTATTGGTTGGCTCAGTTCTAGTGAAAGCAGATCTCAGTATTTGCATTTCCTCCAGTCTTAGAAAAGCTAGGATAATGATAGGATTGTTCTTCTCACATTGAGTGAGAACCAACTCCCGACTTAGATACACTTGATATCACTATATTGTACATTCTTGTCAAGTGGCACTCAAAGCCCTGAACAATATTGATCATTCACATCATGGTTGTTTGCAGGACATTGCTGTATACAAAAACACAGGCACTACACTTTACAGTGTTTCCCGGGAAATACTTTGCGACGCCCCCTCGACATGAAAGACACTGTATTGTGAGCCGGTCACCCCACCCTCGCCCAGATTCATTGGTTCCCCGTCTCCCAGCGGATCGAGTTCAAGATCCTTGTCCTCACCTTTAAAGCCCTCCACGGTCTTGCTATTGCTACATCTTACCTCTGCGACCTATTAAAACCTCACCAACCTGCCGTGTCTTCCGCTCTACAGGCACTGACCCGCTCCAAGTTCCCCTGCCCTACACGCTGCACTATCAGCGGTCGGGCCTTTGACTTTCTACTCCCACCTTCTGGAACGCCATCCCCAAGCCCCTTCACCTCTCCCCACCCTCTTGCCTCCTTCAACACCTGTCTCAAGATCTTCCTTTTTGATATTTCCTCATCCACATCACCCCTGACCTCCATCCCTCTCTGGTTCCAATGCCCAACTCGGGTGCAAACACCTCATTGTCCAGTGCCTTGGGATGTTCTCCCGATGTGAAAGGCCCTATATAAATGCAATTTGTTATTGTTATGCAAGTATTATTAAAAAAAACATATCAGAGTTCATAGAAAAATAGCCAAAGATGTGGCAAAACATACCAGAAGGCAGAACACACAGCAAAACTGACCTAAGACAAAATGCAAACTAAATCCCCAGGATTTCACCAGGCTTTCAAAACGATCAAAATGGATTAAAGCCTATTCCCTGGTGTGCATGAGTTTACGTACATTTGTAAATACTTTTGGACACTGCATTTGGAAGCTAAAAGATTTATATTGAAGCTTATTAAAAATATTAGAACAGATTTTCTTCTGTTACCCTTCCTCTCCTAAAGATACCAACTAGCTGTGCCACAGATCTGGAGGTGCCAGCCTCTCTCAGGTATCTTGACCAAGGGGCTGATTTTTATGCAGGTGAGAGTCAACCACATCTATTATAATTATATACATAATAGTATAGTTGTATTATATAATTGGCTGCCGCATTTCACCCACAAAATATACAATCAATTCACTTTACGGTATATTCTGTGAAGTGCTTTGAGACGTCTCACAATGTGATAAGGCGCTATATCAGTGATTATTATTATCTAACATTTGTACACACACGCTCATATGATTTTCCGGCAGGTGTGATCAGAAGTGGGTTGAAGTAGTAGGATGTACCGACAGTAGAACAAGAGGACATAGGTTTAGAATTGTAAAGGGTCCATTTCAGAACAGACACCAGGACGTTTTTCTTTACCCAAAGTCTAATTAATGATGAAAAAGGTCAGGAATGGTGATAAAGGCCAGGACGCTGAACATTATTTAATGCTCTAATGGGATGATGGTGAAGTGGGTGTTCTGGAAGGATAAGATCAGATAAACAGAAGGGTCTTCTTTATCCAAACTAATCTTGTGATCTTGTGAATCAGGGGCTGGGTGTCTGTATACAAATGTTACCCCCCCCCACACCCAAGCCCAAGTTTTGGAGACATCAAATCTAGCTGTAGCAAACCACTGCATTAGCAAGATAACTTGGCACATGTTGAAGTCTCATTGATTTGTATTTGCTCAGTGCCTATAGAAATGTAAATTGTATTATATTGTATTCCCAAGTAGGGCAAAACCTTAGGCAAGTTTTCTTACTACTAGGTAAACACACCTCTGTTTACCTAGCAGTAGTTCATTGTTAGTTGATTGGCAGATCATATTCTGGGGTTAATAATCCCTCTAAAAAAAAATGTTGGCTCGGCATCCGTGTTTGTGTAATATTGATGTGTGCAATTGCCTGCTGAGTTTCGCCCACAAAATACGCAGTTGATCCACTGTACAATATATTCTGTGATGCACTTTGAGACGTCTCAATGAAATAAGGCATTATATCAAATGCAAGTATTAATATTATATAGAGTAAAGTCTTAGAGCTCTTCACAGGGGCATCGTGCCGGATGGGGGAAGGAAAGATGGGCGTATCTCATCCTATCTCATTGAATGATGGGCATGTTCAAGGGGATAGGATTTGAGGCAAGACCTCAAGACAGAAAAGGAGAGGGGGAAGACAACAAAATTACATTTGTATAGCGCCTTTCACGTCGGGTGGTCATCCCAAGGCGCTGGACAACAGCAAAAAGAACAACTTGCATTTATATAGTGCCACACATGTAGGGCAGCGTTCCAGAATGCTTGGTAGACAGAGTGGTAGAGAGAGGTTCCAGAAGTTAGGGTCATAGCGAAGAGTGAGGGGGACCCGTTCAAGGCTGTGTTAGCTGAGCACACAAGTCTACGGTGTGTAAAGTATCCAACTACATCATCGCACATTCTTCAGTCGGCGATCAAGCCTTCATTCTGCTCCACCCTTTGGAAATCCATCCCACAGTACCTTTGTCTCACCCCCTCCCATGCCTACTTCAAGGTCTGTCTCAAGACTCTCTTCTTCGACCGCGTTTTCGGTCACCCTCCTACCCTCCACTCCTCCTGATCCCAACTTTCTGGTGCAAATCCTTGACTGTCCAGCACCTTGGAACCCCCCTGACACGAAAGGTGCTATAAAAATGTTTTCAAACCGAGTATACGGATACGGTAAATTAAATTTTAAACCCTGGGATGGGAATACCATACCTGTCACGAGAACAAGTTCTGGTTTAATTGCGTCAATGGTCTCGGTGCAAAATTTCAGAAAATCGGGGACTCTTTTGGGATCATGAAACTTACTGATGTGGATGTCGGACACCTGGGAATGAAAAGTTTAAGAGTTTAACATTAACAGAGACGCATCTTTATGCATCTATCCAACAATCGACAATCCCCAGCCCTCAGCAGAATTAGAACAGCACAAGCAAAACACTCTGATCCAGAAGTACATAGTTCTGTTCAAGTAGATATGACAGTGCCAACATTGTATTAATATATGTCCCTGTGAGTAAAATGTACGGCTTCATTCACAGGCGAGACAGAACCGTCATTCTGAGAAAAAGGGCCGCACTGCTGATCACAGGTTAAAATCCAAATCCCAAAACAGTTCAATAATAATAAACAAAAGCTTTCTTTTATTTTCCTTCACGATGTGCCCACGAACGGCAGTTTCTCCAGCTGGGTTTTCATATTTAAAAAATAATACAGCGTATCATTTACACATCTGAAGGTCCAATGGCATTACCAGTCTGGTCTTTCTATCATCAAATCTCCCTTCCTCCTGTCGCATAAACAATGTGATTCCTGCTTGTCAAACCCTCAACACACATTCAAACCAAGCCTTTACGCTTCACTGAACTGCACCCAATTTGTACTTTCTGCAATTTGGTGAAATCAGGTTGTATTGCTTTAAGGTGGCAGGGTAAGGAAATGCACACTTGACACCAAGCAAAGGGAGCGTTCCATTGCGATTGTGGAACTTGTTGCTGTTTGCCTGCAGAAATGACGGCGTTTTACAGTAAATTCCTCTGAAGTACTTTGAGCCATTGCCCCCTGACACGAAAGGCCGGATGTCAAATGCAAGGATTACTTTTTATTTTTTAATTCTCATTCTAGTTTCGGATGTTCATTTTTTAAAATTTAGATTTCTGCGTAAGGGGAGCTGTATAGATGTAAGTTGTTATTGTTGTTGTCGATAAGCATGGAGATGGGTTTCTGCATGTATAGCTGTCACCTCCCCACCCCCACCGACGACAACGTGAAAGGCGCGATGATCAAATGGAACAATTTTAACTCTCGGTCTGGTTTCGGATACCCTTAAGCACGGAGATGGGTTTCTGGATGGGTCTGGCCCCCAAAATAATTCCAGCTTCAGCCCATGCCCACAGGCCCCCAGTCAGTCAGGTGGACAGACACCTGTCAGAGGGTTGACAGGGCCCTCTGCTATCCATAGAGGCGTAATATTGGGCTATTTTTGGGCTAGTATTTGGGGGACTTTGGACTACAAAACGTATTATAATTTCTGGCAAACAAGACTGGGGACCCCCAGAGGAGAGGAGGGAGAGGAGGGAAATTGGAGGGAAGGGAGAGAAGGGAATGGAGAGGAGAGAAGGGGAGAGAGAGAGAGAGAAGGGAGGAGGGGAGGGAGAGGAGAGAAGGGAATGGAGGGGAGAGAAGGGGAGAGAGAGAGAGAAGGGAGGAGGGGAGGGAGAGGAGAGAAGGGAGGAGGGGAGGGAGAGGAGAGAAGGGAATGGAGGGAAGAGAGAGAGAGATGAGTGGAGGGGAGGCAGAGAAGGGAAGGGGAGATGAGGGAGAGGAGTGGAGGGGAGAGAGAGGGGAGATGAGGGAGAGGAGGAGAGAGAGAGAGAGAGAAGGGGAGATGAGGGAGAGGAGAGGAGGGGAGAGAGAGAGAGGAGAGGGGAGATGAGGGAGAGGAGAGAGAGAAGATTGGGGAGAGAGAGGGAGGAGAGGAAGGGAGAGAAGAGGAGATGAGGGAGAGGAGGGGAGAGAGAGAGGAGAGGAAGGGAGAGGAGGAGGGGAGAGAGAGAGGAGATGAGGGAGGGGAGAGGGAGAGGGGAGGAAGGGAGAGGAGGGGAGAGAGGAGAGAAGGGGAGATGAAGGAGAGGAGGGGAGAGAGGAGAGGAAGGGAGAGAAGAGGAGATGAGGGAGAGAAGAGGAGATGAGGGAGAGGAGGGGAGAGAGAGAGGAGAGGAAGGGAGAGAAGAGGAGGGGAGAGAGAGAGGAGAGGAGATGAGGGAGGGGAGAGAGAGAGGGGAGGAAGGGAGAGGAGGAGAGAGAGGAGAGGAGAGAAGGGGAGATGAAGGAGAGGAGGGGAGAGAGGAGAGGAAGGGAGAGAAGAGGAGATGAGGGAGAGAAGAGGAGATGAGGGAGAGGAGGGGAGAGAGAGGAGAGGAGAGAGGGGAGAGAGAGAGGAGGGGAGAGAGAGAGAAGGAGAGGAGATGAGGGAGGGGAGAGAGAGGAGAGGAGAGGGGAGAGGAGATGAGGGAGTGGAGAGAGAGGAGAGGGGAGAGAGAGGAGATGAGAGGGGAGAGGAGAGGAGGAGAGAGAGGAGAGGAGAGGAGAGGGGAGAGGAGAGGGGAGAGAGAGGAGAGGAGAGGGGAGAGGAGAGGGGAGAGAGAGGAGAGGAGTGGAGAGAGGGGGGGAGACAGGGAGAGGAGAGGGGAGAGGGGAGAGGAGAGGGGAGAGGAGGGGAGGCAGTGGCAGGGCTGCAGCCCGCACTGTTGAGCAGGTGCAGACGGTCTGTTTACCTGCAGGAACCAGAAGAGGTTGTCGGGGCTGCTGTCGGGGTAGGGAGGCTGCCCGGCCCGCGGGTGCCTTCCCAGCCCTGGCTGCAGGGTGTAGGTCTCCAGCACGTAGGCGGTGAGACAGGCCAGGAGCAGCCCAGCCGCCATCACAACACTGAAGAGACGCAGCATCTCCAGCGGCTTGTGGCTGTGGCCGGGACCGGGGCCGGGCCGCGGGGCGGGCGGCGTCATCATCAGCCGCGCCTCCCCTGACAGCCCGCCAACACTTCCGGCATCCAGCGCCAAGAGACACCGGGGGAGGGGGCTGGGGGTGGGGAGAGGAGAGGAGAGGAGGGTCCGGGGGCAGAGGTTGGCATGAGGCTGGTGGATCCTTGGTCAACAAATTGAGCCATGATTGGGTAGATTTATCCAGATTTGTTATCCACCTTCATTGGTACACAGTTCCTGCTCAACTTCTGCACCTTCAACCTGTGAACCTATAGCTTACTCAATGGGTAGGGATGTGTGCCCAAGCTGTGGGTAGGGATGTGTGCCCAAGCTGTGGGTAGGGATGTGTGCCCAAGCTGTGGGTAGGGATGTGTGCCCAAGCTGTGGGTAGGGAGGGATGTGTGCCCAAGCTGTGGGTAGGGAGGGATGTGTGCCCAAGCTGTGGGTAGGGATGTGTGCCCAAGCTGTGGGTAGGGATGTGTGCCCAAGCTGTGGGCAGGGATGTGTGCCCAAGCTGTGGGCAGGGATGTGTGCCCAAGCTGTGGGTAGGGATGTGTGCCCAAGCTGTGGGCAGGGATGTGTGCCCAAGCTGTGGGTAGGGATGTGTGCCCAAGCTGTGGGTAGGGAGGGATGTGTGCCCAAGCTGTGGGCAGGAGGTTGGTGTCATTACTGTTGTACGTTTCATTCTGAATTGCGGTGCTTGCCAGGACCCCTACAGGAGTTTCAGTGCCTCGGGACTTCCTCCCGACATGAAAGGCGCTACACAAATGTAATTTCTATTGTATATAATCCCTGCATTTGATATTGCACCTTATCACATTATCAGTACATCTTAAAGCGCTTCACGGGATATACTGTAAAGTGGATTCACTGTATAATTTGTGGGCGACTGCGGCAGCCAATTTGTGCACAGCAGTGTCCCACTGATAGCCACGAGGTGAGTGACCAATTTTATTTTGGGAATTTGTTGGCCAGGATACTGGGAAAAACTTCCTTAGGAACAGGAATTAGGAGCAGGAGTAGGCCATTGGGCCCCTTGAGCCTGCACCGCCATGTAATAAGATCATGGTTGATCTTTTAACCTAATTCCATCTGCCCGCCTTATCCCCATATCCCTTAATCCCTGTATCCTTTAGAAATCTATCAATCTCAGTCTTGAATACGTTCAAGGACTGAGCATCTGCAGCCTTCTGGGGTAGAGAATTCCCTCTTTGAACAGTGCCATAGGATCTTCAACAAGGTGATTTTCTTGACAAGGATAGTCAGAATCGAGTCAATTCTCTGTGGCAGTCTCACTAGTTCTGTCCCTGAGCCAGGTGGCTTTGCAGTTCTCCAGGGCACTGCTCATAACAGAACTTGGAGAGAAAGACGGATTCCTTTTGGGGCAGTAATCCTTCCCACTCAGCTCTTGTTAACCCCTGACTAGTAGGGTAGTCCTTGGTGGACAATTAGCATGAAGATTGCCAGACAATGGCAAGCTTTTAGCTCAGTGATTTAACTGGTTAAGCTCCAAAAGCAGCCTAACAGACTCTGGGGTTCCCAAGACTCAGCTTTTGCCAGTCTGCGCCTAATACGCTGTAGAATTAGGGGATGCAGGGTGAGCCCTTTGGGATTGGAGTAAATATTCCATTCCAGATACGGACGGACATTTCCAGGTGACATACATATGTGGAACTCTCAGTCTAATTTGGATACTCTTGAGCATGTGATGTGAAAGATTTCCGCATGTATAAGACACCCCTCACCCGTACATCTCACATCATCACACATTCCACCTTCATGAATCCGAAACCTCACACAAAAACTTTGACACACAAACCAACTCCCTCTCCCATTCCCACACAAACCTATCCCATCCCTCCATTTGAATATAAGCCTACTTCCTCCCCTGGCCACGCATAAACTTGTACACACACACACATATACACATACCACCGGACAAACAACGCAACATTGCATTTTTCAGACAAAGCACAGGTATGTTAAATATTTCTTATATTGCGAGGATGAGGTAATGTGTAAAAGAATGCAAAGAGACTTCTTGCTCAGAGAAGTTGCCAAGCTTGCGATGTTACTGATATCCATTTTTCTTAAGTACTAAAGGGATGGGTGAGACGATGGAATTTCAGGGCAGGCACAAGATGCAATTAAATATGATTGCAACGAGAACAGGTGTTGCAGGTACTTTCTGGGCCGACAGAGAAATTATAGCAAGTGCCAATGGGCATGTTACAGTTCAACAGCCAAGTGACGGTTAACTCTGCTTAGAGCTCTTTCATGATTGAAGACATCTCCCAGTGAAGTACTTCTGCCTACAGCTAAGTTCCAGGAGTTATGTACTGTATATCACCTTGTCTACGTTTAAGAACAGCAGATAAACAGCTTAAAAGTTAATATAATAATAATCCTTGCATTTGATATAATGCCTTATCACATCAGTGAGGCAGCTCAAAGCGCTCCACAAGATATACTGTAAACTAGATTGACTGTGTATTTTGTGGGCGAAACGCTGCAGCCAGTTGCCCACAACAATGTCCCACAAGCAGTCGTGAATTGAGTGAACATTTTTTTTTACGGGATTATTTGCCACGGAAAGCGATCCACCAATTGATTAACAATTTGGTTCCTACTTACTCCTAAGTAGACAGAAGCAAGTGGAGTAAGGAAACTTGCCTAAGGTTTCGCCCTGCCCAGCAATCGAATCAGGTCCTCTCGCTTGCGAAGTGCTCTAAACAATACACCATAGAACTCCATGAACTTACACAGCATGTCAAAGATTTCAACCTTAATTTGAAGCTGTAAATTACTTTAAGAACACCAGAAAAAAACTACTTCAACGTTAAGGCTAAATTCAACTTTTCACCAAATTCCGCACACACTGAAATGCAAAGAAAATAAAGTAAGTCTAGTCTTAGGTGGAATTTGTCCCCACATTGTGGATTCCTGCTCTGAGCCAGGCTTGACTATGAAAACTCGCTGCTTGTCAGCCTCCCCAACTCCCTTCATAGGCTGCAGATCATCCAGAACTCTGCAGCCCGTGTCCCCTCCCGCACCAGGCTCTGTGACCCTATCACCCCCATCCTCGCCCGACTCCACTGGCTTCCCATCACACAAAGGATACAGTTCAAGATCTTCGTCCTCACCTTCAAAGCCCTTCATGGCCTTACTCACCCCTACCTCTACGACTTCCTAACCCCCTACCAACCTGCCCGCTCCCTCCGCTCAGGGGACTCCAGCCTGCTTCACGTCCCCCACCTCGCTTCGCCCGCCCCACCGTTGGCGGGTGGGCCTTCAGCCACTCTGCCCCTACCCTCTGGAACTCCATCCTGCAGTCCCTCCGCCTCATCCCCTGCCTCGCCTCCTTCAAGACCCGTCTCAAGACCGTCCTCTTTGACCGTGCCTTCGGTTACCCTCCTTCCTCCCCGTGCCCTCCACCTTCCCTGATCCCAACCCCCAGCTCGGGTCCAAAACACTGATTGTCCAGTGCCTTGGGACGTCCTCCCAACGTAAAAGGTGCCCTAGGATGGTCTCTGATCCATTCCATGATGGAATATCTCCACAGCACTCACTGTCTTGCACTTGTTGAATTGGTGATATACCCGAGGGCTGCTAGCCTCTGGTAACCCCAGAAGATACCAGCATCTTCAAGAGAGAAACAGTTTAAAAACCATGCACTTCAACTTCCATGTACTTGGGGAACTTTAGTTATAGTGATCAGTTTTATCCACCCTCCATTTAAATACTGTTAACCAATGGTTACATCAGAAGTATGTGTTTTTAAAGCTCCAGTATGGCTGAACAGGTTCTCTAATTAGAAGAGTGCAATGACCCAGTGTTTTTGTACAACGCTAAATATAAGCAATTAACATGAGGTTTATTGCAGTTTGAGAGTTTCAAAAGAAGTCTGGGAGCCTTTTTCTGTTTCGTGGCTTGTACAGAATGAAGTGTTAAAACACACCCAACTCCCCATTTTCAGGATCCAGCTTAACATTGACAAGCAAGTTGACAAATACTGTGGAAGCTCAGGATCTTCAATGTCTTCTTATTACTATTGGATTTTTCTTTCATATCTCTACGTCCAAATTCAGTGATCTTTCCACCTGTTACAGTATGTCCTGGGTTGAGAAATACATTCATCTTATCCCATCACTGGGTTAGTTGGGAGAGTAACCATGGATGGATCATCTCCTTGAGGTGCTGATGTACAAAGGGCAGAATACCAGGCAAAGCAGCTTTGCTACTATAATAATCAATGCATTTGATGTAGCATATTATCACGTTGTTGAGACGTCCCAAAGTGTTTCACAAAATATATCGTAAACCGGATTTACTGTGTATTTGTAAGTGAAACTGGCAGCCAGTTGTGGATTCAATGACCACATTTTTTTGGGAAGCATTATTACCCCTGGAAAGTAATCCGCCAATCGACTAGCAACTGGACTCCTATTTACCGCTTGGTAAAGGAAGTAAGGAAACTTGCCTAAGGTTTCACCCCACATGGGAGTAACCGTGCCCGGGAATTGAACCTGGGTCCTCTCGCTTGCGAGGTGAGTGCGCTAACCACTACACCACGGGACTCCAATCACTAATCTCTATTCCTTCTGATCAAAGTTCTCCCTCATCCACCTCCATGGGACTGCTCTCTCCTGGTTCAAGTCCTACTTGACTAAACGCCACTATTTCATCTCCTCTCAGGTTTTCTGCTCCCGCCCCTGTACCTATGATATACTGCAAGGCTCTGTTCTCAGACGTTCCTTTTCTCATTTACATAATATTTTTGGGTGACATCATCCACCGACAAGTATCGACTTGTTCTTTTTACACCTATACTGCCTCGATCTGTTCTCACAGCTTAAATCAAATCACCGACCTACATTATTTATGTGCCTCAACATTTTTGAACCTTGAACCTGCGCCACCTTCGATTGTTATTCCAATGAAAACAAGTTCAACTGCGTGAGCCACCCCTCATACTTCAATTCCGATCCCTTTGA